ATAGTTTCGAACCCTTTTTTTTTTTTACGTTGGGAAATGCATTTACGCACGACGTGTGGGACTCACCGGCGTAATACAGCCAGTACTACCCACTAAAACCCAACAAAACCTTCCCCCGTCTTAATGGGGCGTCGCAGGATCGCTTACGCATCCAACTACGACGCCCCGACAATAGTTTCGAACCCTGCATTATACACATTTCAAGACTCCTTTTTTCTTATCAACATTAATCTTCTAGAATCAAGGTGGTGCCCACGTGAAGAGACTAAATACAATACAAAAATCACACTGACTCATAAAGGTGTTTCGTTTTTCTAAAGAAACCCAAATATCAATACAAAATATGGTAATAACCATTAACATACGCAAATGTATACATATATACATGGGATAATGTAAATGAGGCATATATGTTTCCTTTAATAACGTAAAATATTATACGAGTAGGTATATAATATAATATTATTATTGTATACTAGCGACTTACCTTCGCTTCGCTCGGGTGCGTCCCTAGCTAGTAGCTACGCGGATTTTGTTCACAATTTCATGGATTTCAACTTTTTGTGCAAAATCCTGATTCTTTTTCTAAAATAAAAAATATATTAAATTACTCCTTATAACATTAGCTTTCTGCCAGTGAAAGACCCGTTAAAGTCGCTCCAGCCGTTTCGGAGATTAGCCAAAACAGACAGAAAGACATACAAAAATTAAAATTTTTAAAATTTGTTTTTTTTTTCTTATTAGTACTGTTTATATACGTATTTAGTAAAAAACTGTTATTTTGACATTACAAACGGACACCTCAATTTTATTTATTTGTATAGATTCGGCATAGTTTTATGAATAAAATATTTATTATAAATAAACGATTACTATAACAGGTAACAGTTTTTAGGTATTTCGTTATATATTTTAATTTAGACAATTAGAATATTATACCTACTCGTATATTATAATACTAGCGTTTCTACTACTACTACTGTACTATTCACGCGTAGTTCGATTATGTATTACTTACTATATATGTAAAATTATTTTATAAGTTGTAGTACTGTACAGTTTCACGAAAATCCGTTCCGTAATTTTTGCGTGAATGTGTAACAAACATCCGTTCTCATAAATACATATTTCAATATTAGTAGGATGATAACAATTTGTCACCCCTGTACCATTTATAAAAATACAGTTCTTCGTTTAACTTTAAACCACACTAACAGAAATAGAATTATATTGTTCACTTAGATTAAAGTGTTTAGAAAAATAATATGAACTCAAAGGAAAATCTTCAGTACACACTGACTACTTGAATGTGTTATATCTATACCGTTTACTATTTTTAAATTTCGAAACGCATTATGAGATGCGATGAAATGTGTCAACAGATGTGTGTTATTGAGATTTATGTGTTTCTACGTGACATTGGCGAAGTAATCTGTGCTCAACTGACACGCTTTGAAGCCATTAACAATAAAATTGAATTGAATTGAAATTTAAGTGGTATTTGTATTTTGTTGTGTTTGTTGAGAGAAAAATACATGCATATACCTACCCATTCAACCCTTATACTAATTTATTTGGAACATTATGGTCGCAACGAGAAGGGTATTATAGTCAATGCGCGCTATCTTATGTTTTTATGCTAAAACTTTTATGTAAAAATGTGGTATGTAGCATGAAATCTTATTATTTCTTCAATTATTGTATTAATATTGTTGTCTTTATATTTGTAATATTACGTTAAAAGTAAACTTCGACCAACTCGAACTTCGAAACTCCGAGCACGGTAATGTAATGTAATATTACCGTGCTCCGAGCGAAGTTCGGTAGCCCAGGTACTAATATTATAAAGAGGTAAAGTTTGTGAGTTTGTGACGTTGTTGGTTATCTCTGGATCTAATGAACCGAATTAGATGAAATTTGGTAAGAAGATAGTTTGAGACCCTAGGGAGAACATAGGATCCCGGAAATTATCCCTTAAGGGGATGAAAATTTGTATGGGGAATCAAGTTAGGGACGAACCCGAGCCAAGAGAGGGTGAGTCGCTAGTAAGCTATATGTATAGTGTAGGATCCCTAATAAAACTTCGAGATATTCCTTGCTTATATTCGTATATTCGTAATTTATAACCATAATTTTCAGTATTACAAACAATTCATGACTAGTCACTACAAGTGGTACCGACATCTCTGTGCAAAAGTGCGGGAAAACAAATGAATATCCGCACCCTTTTTTTATTTTTTTAAAACACATTCCTATCGGCCAATATATATTATTTTCTATTAAAACGCACAATATATAATATAAAAATGCAACCTTACACTCGTCCATCCTGATAACGTATATGACCTCATACACGCTTTTCGTTGGAAAACCTTACAATAGTGTATATTCTAAGGATGCGGAACCCTAAAAAATGTTTGTTAAAAACTGTTGGTAATTTTGGACCATCATGTGGAATAGAAGCATAATAATTAAGCTTACGGAAGCGATAAATTCTAGGCTTTGTAACTCCGCACATTTATTTATATTTTAGCACAGAATCTATACATATAATAAAATTGTAACTGAGCCGAATCTGTACATTATATATTTTTTGGAAAATCTTATTCAAATAAACATTATTATCGATACAGAGGCCAAATCTATAGTTTTTAGAATTTTTGTCTATCTGTCTGTCTGTCCGTCCGTCCGTCCGTGCGTCCGTCTGTCTGTCTGTTACCACATCACAGAAAAACCACTGGAGGGATTTTGATGAAATTTGGTATGGTGATAGCTGGTTATCCGGGTCAACATATAAGATACTTTTTACCGCGGCAAAATATCTCATTTCTGAAAAAAAAAACAAAAACTGCAATGTATGAGTATACTAATATGTAAAACCTAAGAATTTGGTTTTTGGTCATCTGAACGCGGGCGGAGCCCCGGGCAATGCTAGTCTATATATATAATCAAATAATAATAAAGCGAAATCTGTACATAAAATATTTTTTACAGAATCTGGACCCGAAAAGAATAGTTGTTGAAATTTTTGCCTGTTTGTCTGAACAGTTTTAAACAAATTTTGTGTAGAGATAACTTATTATGGTCAACGTTAAGGATACCTTTTACTATACAAAAATCTCTCATTCCCACGGGGAAACACAATAACTGGTACGTCCGAGTAGTACTTCATACAAAAATTTCAATGTTTTATTACACACAAACTATTAGTAAGTACCTACCAGGGTTAAAAATTGATATATATATATATATATATATATATATTTTACTCATATTTAAAAATTTAAATTTTGTTCGGGCTGATTAGGTATCTATTCTAAATTAAAACCTCCGTTTGGTTATTTTTTACAATTTAGTGCCTGGAAATCGATTTTTTTAAGTTTTTATTTTCCATTTTTATTGTAGATGTAATAAACAGGTAATTTGTAAGAAAAAGTTTTTTAATAACATATTCGATTAAACAATTTAATGAAAAAAAATATATTTACCGATTACCGATTTCGATAAAATTTTTATGGGACCACCTGGGAAGTATACTCTTTGAAACAAAAAAAAATAGTTTCCAAATCGGTTCAGATGTCTTCGAGTAATCGGTTAACATACATAAAAAAACTATTCCGACGAATTGAGAACCTCCTCCTTTTTGGAAGTCGGTTAAAAACAATGCGTACTAGGAAATTGTAGGTCTGGTCTACAGAAAACCCATGATAGCAATAAGTGTGTATCTTAACTACATCTTTACTAACAATAACTATTTCTATCTTTAGATAAAGCGTAGTTACCTAGGGACGCACCCGAGCGAAGCGAGTGTAACTCGCTAGTATAGGTACCTATTTAATATTATATGGTACGTAAATTTTAGGCCACGTTAAACACTTTCCTAATTTGATAAGGACAATAATTTATTGCGAGTTAGTGAAATACATACGGGTTATATGTACGATAGTAAATATATATTAAGTTACACAGATACCATGCGCTATATAAATGCTATAACAATCATCTACGGTTAGTGTAGTTATTAGGACAATGGTCTACTTTTATCTCAATTCAAATTAAGTAAAAGTAGAGTTTTTTTTGCAACACTTAGGTATATTACGGTTTACTTAATCATTGGTATTTTGTTCGATTCAATACGCGTCCTCTCGCACTCGCAGGCATCATTCAAGGTTTTAGTTGTGAAGAGTTACTACTGAATATTGACACTTATGTTTAGTTGCTTCATAAGTCGTTGTAGTGAACGGTCGTCTCATACACGGTGGTGCTGGTACGATCTAATTAGTATCATAGTGCGCGATATAAATTTTAACTTTGTGATGAAACAAAATTGTTGAAACTTATTTCCCAGGTAAACTGAGATTTTTTAATTCATCATTTACATACCACTGTAACCAACTAACCATTTAAAATAATTAAGATAATTTATTAATACTATTTTTTTACATTTTAGCTCATAACCGCGTAGTTTTTTTATTTTCTAACATGTACTGTATTTTCAATACAATAAGGTCAGACTAAGTCTGATGTTTTTCCTTAAAAATATAGTATGATAATTAAGTAAATAACAGATAGCAGGTCAGTTATAGTATTTGTACAAAGTAAGTAGCATCAGATACATATATTTAAAAAATATATAATTAGGAAGTGCGGTTCAGATTTTTGTAACACTGCAAATAAAACTTGCTTCTATTATTATGGAACAGTGCGACTCACAGAGTACATTGGTGCGACTCCAAACGCAACTCCGTCGTCCTTTTATAGGCATGATGTGCTTTTTGTGCATGATGTCTCAATCAAGATATACGATGATTATGTATAATTATCATAAGAAAATGAATAAGTTTTTAATAATTAATAATAAAAAATCGCATGGATTTTCTTTTATTTTCCTTTTTTTATCCATTATTATTCATATATGTAAGTAAATACAGTATTTCCAATTATAACAAATACCTATTTACTATTTTTGGTTATTTAAGATTTCAGAACTATCTTGGAAAATGCAAACAAAGGCAGAAGTTATTATTAGTATCAGCCTGCTGATTTTCTTCACCATATTTGAACATGCTCGAGCCGAAGACGAAATTGCGTAAATATTTAGTTATTAATATTTGATTACCATTAGGAATGTCTAATAACTAGATCATTTGTAATACCTGCAGTTCTATTGCTTATAAGTTAACGACCATGATATGGTTTCAAATGTGATTGCAATTCGCAATAACTAAAAAAGTTATTATAAGTTAAAAAGGAAATATAAGTTATTATGAGTTAAAACTTATGATGGCTATACATTTTATAAGTAATATAAAAAACATGTCTACATGAAAAAAATAATTGGAATAAATTAATATTATTAATAAAAAAATATTAAAAACATATTTCTTGTAGAGTATCAAACGCAATACCGCGGCAAAATGAATTGGCAGATGCTGCTAACACCCTCGGGTATAATATCATGACTAAAATGTTGACCGACACTGATAAGAACATCGTCCTTTCACCGACAGGAATCAGTGGTAAGTAAGCTGTCATACTTCGACAATATGAATACATAACTTATTATCCACCGTTAGAAAGACTTCCAAAGAAAGTTGTGTCTGTTTATAACAAAAGAAGTTTTTTTTAGCTCTTGAACTGTACGGCTTAAACTACCTAAATGCATATGTACAATACTTAATATTAATTTAAAATGTAGACTCTACTACGACTATTATGTGAGGTGGATGAGTACAAAAACCCAGATTTAACAATAAGAATTTTAATATTCTAACATTCATTTACACTGATTGTAAATATGTATAGTTATTGATAAGTAGAGATACATACAAATGTTGTTACTTAGGTAGTTACTAACGACTCACCCTCGCTTCGCTCGGGTACGTCTTTACGTACATTTTACCGGTTAGTATAGACATATAATAGACTACAAATATATATATATATATATATATATATATATATATATATATGTTCAATGTACATACATAGTACATATTACATAGGTACACAAAAGTATTTTTATATTTGTATAATTAATTCTCCATTCAAACTACCACCTCTTTAAGAGAAGTTTTCGGGGATAAAAACTATCCTGTCTTTCTCTGGATTTCGAACTATCTACGTACCTAACTTCATCTAAATCAGTTAAGCGGATTAGCGTGAAAAGGTGATAAACAGAACAAAGTTACTTTCTCATCTAAATATTAATATGGATTTATAAAGTAGTTTTTTTGTGATGTGATAAGTCAGTGAGTCGCTACATTTCCTGTAATTTTATATAAATAAAAATGAATGTTGTTAAGCGCATAACTCAAGAATGGCTGGACCAATTCGGCTAATTTTTTTTTCGTATGTTCCTAAGACCCATGGAAGCTTTTAATAAAAAGAAAAATAAAAAAATAACGAAAAAAAAATAAAATTTATATGGCTATCGCCGCTAGTATATAATAAAAAAGTTATTGCGAAAGATATAGAGATAGACATGTTCCATTCCGGACTTTTTTGTAGGCCTTTTTAACATCTACAATTTTCTAGTAGGTACATTGTTTTGATGTATCTCATGAGGTTTAGCCAGCGTTAAATTTCTAAGGACGACTCGATAGAACCAGTTATTGTGTTTTTCCGTGGGAATGAAAGTTTTTCCTGTAATAAAAGGTATCTTAAATGTTGGCCCGAGTAATACGTTATCACTAGACAAAATGTAGTTAAAATCGGTTCAGTAGTTTTTGCCTGAAACGCGCACATCGATTTCATTAAGTTACTGTATTATCCAGGTAATCCCCCCCAACGTGCGTTCACCTTGTCGTGGTGGGGGGGGGGCTCAGTAGTGCCCGGCAATCCAACCGGGCGCGAAGCTAAGAAACGCACAGGGAGGTTGCCCACTTCGGTGGGCGGTGGGAGGTGGCCTTCTTCGGGGGGCGGTGTACCATGTGGGTTGCTCCTGGTACTTCTCTGATAGCAGAGTGGACCTTGGAGCAACCCCATGGTTGTGGTGGTCTGCTTCGGCAGACCTGCCGTCGGGGCGTCGTAGTTGAATGCGTAAGCGATCCTGCGACGCCCCATTAAGACGGGGGAAGGTTTTGTTGGGTTTTAGTGGGTAGTACTGGCTGTACTACGCTGGTGAGTCCCACACGTCGTGCGTAAATGCATTTCCCAACGTTAAAAAAAATAAAAAAATATCCAGGTAAAATTCTGAGAAATTAATTAAATTTCTAAGAAATCTATTGTTAACTGTAGCGCGGGGGGGGGGGAGATTGTAGCCTGTAGTGAATAGATCTAACCTTTTTCCCTATCTTAACCTACTCCTATTCTTAAACCGTCTAATATTAGAACATAGGTGGTAAGCGTAAATGCATGACCAGCAGAATGCAGAATATCGATTTTTAAATCTAGCAAATGCTATAATGTAACTTTTTTTCTGTTTCTTTTGTTTGATGAAGTATAATTGATTTACTGAATATAAGTAAGTATAATATATTATACCTATTGTAGGATTTTCCTTATTCTGTGACAAATCAGCTTATACGAAAATGACCTCACGGGGAAAACAGTAGTAAGTTGTGGGATACAAACCTTGTAATAATAATTCTTTTAAAATATACACTATTCTTAGTAAGCTAAGCTCAGTTTAAATAAATAAAGTTGGAATTTGTGATTCAACATTAAAAATTGCTATTTCCCGCTCTCCGAGAGCGAGTGGTTTACTTTTAGATATATATATATATATATATATATATATATATATATATATATATATATATATATATATATATATAATGTACTCGTACATAATTCAATTATTCGCAAAATATGAGACGCGTACTGACTATTAATAAACGTTTAGGTGTTATTTTTTTTACTTTAGGTAGGTAGGTACTTCTATTTGGCCATTACGATAAAGTGGTGTTAAAATCGTTATAAGTCGGGCTAGCGCAGTGACGGTTCTGTACCACAACAACTATATACAGGTATATACGATATGTATTTCATATTATAAAATTTAAATATTTAAGTTGAGTAAAACAGCGAGCTAGGTCTTAATATTCGTACTAGTTGCGTCCTTAATCATCATTGGGGCTTTTTAATCATCTGCGGGGAAGCCAAAAAGAGGATTAATATGCATTTGTCCGCTATGTATGTTAGTATTTTGTAATGTGTTTGTACATATATTTGTGTTTAGGTATGTATGCATGTCCGAACATGTCTTATATTATTAGATATTAATAAAAAAATAAATTACAAAAACAAAAAGCAAAACGATTCCTTTTGTTATTACGTCTGTTGTGTTGGTTTAGTGGATAGCAAATCACCAAATGAGGCTACAGATCATGAGTTTTGGGTCAAGGCAAGTAAACAATAATTGTGCCCCAAACCCCCTCCCCCCTCTATTGTGCGTTCACCTTGTTGCGGTGAGAGGCTTATTAACGTCCTGTGCTCCTTTGATACTTCTCTGATAGCTGAGTGGACCGTTGGAGTAGACAACTGCGTGGTTGTTGTGGTCTCTTTGATAAGGAAGCCGTCGGGATGTCGTGGTTGAGTGTGTAAGCGACGATCCTGCGACGCCCCATTATGACGGGAGAGGTTCGTTTGGATTTTAGTGGGTAGTACTGGCTTTGCCGGTGATTCTCACATAACGACCTGTATGCTTGCAGGTGGTATGCTTAAATGCATTTCCCAATGTTAAAAAAGGTAGTTATTAAGATTTTCGTCATTAAATTCTTGTAAACTCCCGGAGTTGATAAGATGGCAGTGTTACAGCTTAGGAGCTATTAAAACCATCGGTTTGTCTCCCGGTCTTCAGCACACTTAGGTTTGCAGAATATAATAACTTGTGCGCAGAGAACTAATCATCATACATCGTCTTTGTCTCAGTCCAAACATGCTGCTGCTGGATTTACCCACCATGTATATAAAATACATTTTTATAAAATATGTTGCAGGGCTTCTAGCTATGGCTTTGGCGGGTAGTGTTGGTAAAACTTACGATGAATTAGCTAAAGCGCTGGGATTTTCTCAAGGTAAGTTTAGGTACCTCCCTATAGGTATGTATAATAATAATTTTCCTAAAATGTTGACGTCATTCAAAGCATAATATTATCATAATACGTGGAATATTTACATATATAAAAAAATATTGTCCAAATCAAATTGTGTCTAAATCCATTATATGGAACTAATTTATAAAAGTATGTACAGGTACAAGTTGCGATTAGGTATAGATTACATATTAGTGACGCTACAAGACGTGAAGAAGTGACGGATCAATTACTATTAGTGTCCTCTACAATATAACATTGGTTACGATATAGGTTCCTATCGGGAGCACTTTCGCCATGGAAGTACGGCTAGACCCTTTAAAATAAATATATTTTAATTACTTAACTTGCATTTCACTTGGGCACTTAAGCAAATGCCACGTGCAATTAATTAATTGCTGTACAGCAAATTAAAAGTTTGAAATATTTGCAAATTTATATTATAATATTAACGTTAAATGACATTTTGTTTATATAATATACATTTATATAAATATAATATACATTTCTTAAGACATTGAAATTAATCGCCAAAATCATGAGACATTCGGAGGCTTGCTAAAGAACTTAAACTCGGAGAAAACATCGAGCAAGACAATGTATGCAGATGCTATTTTCGTCGACACCAAGACCAAGCTGCGTGAAATATACCAATCGTATGTACATAGAGTGTACAATGGCGAAGCCCAATCTGTTGACTTTGCGGACACAGAGAAAACTCAAACTTTAATTAATCAGTGAGTTTCTTGTTTAGTACTTTCTTTTTCCTTTAAAAGTAATTAACTTCATTCGCATTTTTGCCGTATCGCATTAGATATATCTACTTTTAAAAAGAATAAAAATTATCTATTTTTATTTATCTGAAAAACGTACCAATAATATAAAAATTCCGTTGACGTCCAAAAATAAATTTAGGTCCCTCGTATCGGTGGGTATCCGAATCACCCCCATGTATGATACGCGACTTTTCATAATTAATGAGCTATGATTTTTTTTAATTTTTAAGAATTTTCGACCTGACCAACTTAAAAAATTTCAAAAAAAATATAGAAGATTTTGTCGAGTTTTTTTTGCTACTAAATCTTCATAAGTAGTACTTTTTTGAATAAAATAATCAGCTTCGTAACTGTGATGAAAAATAAGAAAATGTTGGTCATAAGTGAAAAATTTACATTTGGTCAATTATGACTTATATTAACTTTAATTAAAAAATCTAAACAAGTGACTTCATGGTTCCCAAGTAGACTAGAATGCATCAGAGTCTCAGCTTTTGCAATCATTAAAAAAAGTAGTACTTAATGGGGCGTGGCTAAAATCGGCCTTCAAAGACAGCGAGGTGGAAAATTCTTAAAATTAGTCATATCATTAAAAAAAATTTTTTTTGGTCATTTTATCGTTCCTAAGGTTAGTTAGTTTGTTAACAAACCAAAGATACCTGCAGGAAAGCTACGATGATACTTGCATCGATTCTTAAGTAGGTTAACCACGTTGAAATACTCTATGGTATAGAATTAATAGGTTCCCAATTTGGCAATTGCAATAGCACCAAAAGAGTGTGTGTCCCTTTCTCTCTATTCTGCAGACTATAAGACCTCCCCTCGTAAATAATAAAAACTTTCAGGTGGGTAAGTAATAATACAAATGGGAAACTACAGGACTTTTTGAAGAAACCACTGCCTATTGAGACTAAAGCGGCTTTAGTGAGTGCTTTGTACTTTAGTGGCCAGTGGGCGACTCCATTTGTGCCAGAATACACTTTGAAGTAAGTAATTATATTTATTGACGCTAAAAAAACTTTATAGGTTACTGCTACCTCAGACTTAGGGAATACATATAATGAATATAGAGGGAATGTCATAGAACTAAACATGGAGCAAAACAGAAATAACATTGTTAGATGACACGTCTGGCTCAGTTTGTAGTGACCACAGACAATACAATGTCTGTGGTAGGGGCCCTACTTTCTGTGCCTGCGGTCGCGGGTTCGAATCCCGCTGGGGGCATTCATTTGTGTGATGAGCACGAATGTTTGTACTCCAGTAATGGGTGTTTATATTTATAATATGTATGTATTTAAATTTATATACATCTAGTGTATCAACTGTCTGGTATCCATAACACAAGCCTCGTAGCTTATCATGGAATTAGATGGTGGTGTGTGTTAATGTCCCAACATATTTATTTAGTTTATTAGGGGTTTCACTTCGGAATTGGAGATAGTCAGTTATAAACTTGTATAAACCTTTATTTTGACACCGATTACCAAGATACGATTCAAAACTAATAAATAACCGAGATTCTTAGAAAGTCGTTCCCTGAAAAAGAAGTCGGTCGGAAGTAGGTACACAGTTGAACATTTGTCCCTACTGACTATAAATAGAAAGCTTTATACTATTTAATATGGTATATTTTTTGCACTATATTGTCCGCTGACATACATCTTCTACATCCTGGGGTTGACTGGAAGAAATCTCTTTTAGAGATAAGTCCACCTTTGTGAGCTATATTTATTGTTGTTTTTTTTTCTGTATCACATTTTAAGTGCAATAAAGAATATAATATGGATACGTATTCCTTAAGTAGGTACCTAAATGTAACTTTTTTGAGGTTATGAAAGAATGTAAAAGTCTGCGGATTTTAAAGAAGATTTACTTAATTATTTAAAATGTAATTAAAGTATTTCCCATAAAAAATTATAATTACACGAGTAGGTAAGTGTTATTAAATGAATAGATACTCAATTAAGAAAAAAATATTAATTATATAACTATTTATCAATAAATTATAGACTTTATACGGCGTGCTTTTAATCGGGACTACCGGTTAACCTCGAATGATAACTCTATTGTTAAACAATGCGCGCTCTCTGTCCTCTATTTCGAATACGGTTCAAGATATAAAAAAAATTTAACATAAGTTGTAGAGAATTTAATCCTCTACAACATTTATAATAAATACAAATAGCATAAAACCCATAGGAAACGAGATATTTGCAAAAATGTGCAAAAAAATCAATTTTTTGACCTTTGACCTTAGATATCTGTAGTCGCGGACACCATATGTAGGTTAAGTAGGTTTTGAGACAAGTTTTAGGGTGTCAAAATAAAAGTTTATACAAGTTTATAGCTGACTATCTCCAACTCTGAGATACTTGCCCTAGTTTGACTAATATAACTGGACTATGTTATATTAGTCAAATATATAGTTGGATATTTGTTATGAGCAGAGTTACCAAGTTTTGATAAAATATTCCCAAAAAAAAAGAAGGAAAATTCATTAAACTTTCAGTTTTATAATCTTTGAATTTATTATATATTTTCTTACAATTAATTTACATGAAATATTTTACAACAGCATACAATAAATAAGTAATACAATATTCTTCGCTTTGTTAAGCTCGAGTTATCGATTTAACCCTCATGTACATGTGTAACTTTTAGTGATTCGAAAGTTATTTGGTTTTTAAAAGAGAAATAGTAAAAATAAGATTTTAAACTTTAAGTACTTCAAAATTCAAAGGTGCAGCTGAAATATCAAGTCGGTTGATTGATATGTTTGGTCAAATAGTAATTTAATTACTATATCTTCAGCTATCACTGTCTTTTACTTATTTTAAAAATTGAGACAATTTTATCGACAAACAACTCTACAAATTTCATTTATCTAGCACCAAAGCTTAATGCGTACTTACAAAAACATTGCTTAGGATATAAGTTACCTTCTATTAGAATTTCATTTAAAGAAGTTTTCATTTAGTTATTAGTTTATGTTTTAATTGTTACTATTTTTGTCCCGAAGACATTATTAGACCCTAAAGACTAACGAGGTTATTTACTAACTAATAAGTTATTTGTTAACTAATAAGTAGGTAAGTATGTTACGTTTTAACAATGCAAACCTTGAAGCTCTCAAATAAAATACATAACATACATGTTTGTTTTATATACATTTTTTTAGGATTTTATTATTAGTATTGTTTTTAATATCTAATCTACAAGTATTCTTGCATCACAAAATTTTCTCATCACAAAAAATTCTCAGGAATAAGTAAAGACAAAGATATGTGCTCTATCTATATATATCTAATTGTATGCAGACCTCTCAATGAAATTCAAAAACTAAGCAGTTGATATAATATATTACATAAATATAGTATTAAAGTTTATATTATGTAATGTATTCAGCCATTTTTAACGTCCCACTGCTGGGCACGGGCCCCCTTTCAATACGAGCGAGATCAGGCCATAGTACACCACGCTGGCCAAGTGCGGATTAGCGGACTACACATGTCTTTTAAAAACATAGTAAGTTCTCTCAGACATGCAGGTTTCCTCACGAACTTTTAAGGCAAGTGGTAATCATGTTGGAAATGATTCGCACATGAAAATATCAGAGGTGCGAGACCCGGGATTTGAACCCGCTGCACTCGGTTCCCCAAATAAACGCGTTACCACTGCCTTATTATATGTATTAAATTAAAAATTACAACTGTTGCATGCAAGCGCATGCAGATTTCAGAGTTCTGCGATTCTTCATTAAAATAATATATTACTTATTTTTATTTAGGATGCCTTTTAATAGAACCAAAGATGAAGTTATGACAGATATGATGCTAAATCTTGGTGATTTTAATTACACATTGAAAAATAGTAAGTTCTTTATCAATACGTTTTACAACATCATAATTTTATTTACTAGGTACGTAATTAATGTTTTCTTAATTTCTTCATTTTTATTTCAGACGTAGAAATGATTGCTTTACCATACAACGATAGCGAAACCGTTTTATATGCTCTTAAACCACACAGGCCCGAAAAACTAAATCTCTCAGAACTATTGAGTACACTGGATTACGAGAAGATTAATAAACTAATAGATCAACTAACAGTTCAAAAGTGTGTTATACGATTCCCTAAGATGGATATAAAATTCTTCGCTAATTTGGAAGATTCTCTGAAAGCGTTAGGCGTTGAGAGTATATTTAACGCGCAAGAAGCTAATTTTGCTTTAATGATAGACAATAATAATATCGATAAAAAAAACGAAACTGAACTTTTATCAAGGTTTGCTGATGGTGATACAACAATAGAAAAAAATAATTTAAGATCTGTTATTGATAATTTACCCAATCCCCACGTATATATAGACTCCATAATACATGATGTACGAATAAAAATAGACGGTATGTATGCACATTACATAGCATATTTTCATTTCATTGATTTAAGAATAATAGTAACACTGTCTCACTGTATGTTTGTACAGTAGACACTAAAAATATGAATATTACTGGATTATTTGCTTCACAGAAATATACCAAGGTAACGGTTGTAAACACTAATTCACTTTAAATTGAGCGTGTGGTAGGCAATATGGCAAATGAATATTCTATTATCAGATGTGTATGGTATGGTATGGTATGTTCGGGCTGTTTTCCGCAACTCGACGACTATGCGCCTATTTTGCGTGTCAGATGTCGTATCAGATGTGTAAAATAAATGTGAGCGAATAATTGTCTTAAGACATAATTATATTTAGTAAATAACTATATTAATAACTGAACAATTCACTTGTATGAATGTCACAGACAATAATATATAGTTTATTAATTGAGGTTACAGGCCATCTCAGATCACGATATCACCTCAAAGAGACTATTGTTTCTTTTTATAGTAAAAGTTAATTATAATATAAAGTCATATTTATTGTGTATTGTAATATTTTACACAATTTTTTAACCATATGCACCCTATTGACTTGCAGTTCTAATTTCTATATTAATATATTTTGTATTATAAATTAATATATTTTATAATCGTATTTTTAATAATGGAAAACATTAATTTAAAAAACTTTTTCTTTACAGAGTATGGAACAGAGGCAGTGGCAGCCACTGCCGGGATTATAGCAAGATCTACTAAAAACTTCTATGCAAATTCACCATTTTATATGTTTATAAGAAATGAAAAGACTAAACTTGTAACATTTAGTGCTGCTATATTTGACCCTACAAAGTAATTCTATGTTAAATTTAACCATAAAACAACCACATGAAAGAAGCTAGATCACAACAAACTAAATTTTCTTTTACTCATTTATTAATAAACAGTACATTTGTTGTATGTTATAAGTATTATGCTTAATTAAGTTTTCCTATTCTTAATTGTGTTTATTTTAAAATTTAATTTTAATTAATCATGTGTAAAATTTATGTCCATTTAGCTAAAAGTCCTATATCAATATCTTATTTTATAAGGTTGCCAAGTCTGTTTCAGTGAACTTTCTAAGGGGTCCTAAAATGTAATTATTTCAATAACTTTAGGATTAGGTTTGTAATATTATTGTAATAAGTGTTTTAGTGCCCTCTGAAAAAGTTCATTGAAACAGGGTTGACCAACTTGGGAACTAAGGTATTGTTATGTATGAATTATAAAAAAAATACTAAGCAATCAATTCACATAAAAATTGAATATACATATTTTAAATATTTAGCAGTTGTTATGGATATATTTACTATTAGCCAGTTAACAATAAGCCTGTATGTTGTTAGAATTTTTAAAATTTTATATAAAAATGTTTTATGTATTATAGTTTTTATTTTTAAAATAAGTTTGTATTCTTAAACATAATAATATCTCTTTATAGAGGAAATGATAACTTCCAACTATTGTTAAAATATTTACAATAAATAAACCTCTATCTGTTACTTCGTAATTTTTCTATTCTATCATTAAGTGTTTGCTTCCACTGCTCTTCTGATATACTTTGTGCCCATTCTGGTATAGAATCTTGAGGAAGGGCAAAGTTGGCCATTAATGACATTACCTGAAATCAGTATAAAAAGAATTTTATAACAGTTGGAATAAAAATATACATATAAATATGTAATACTTTTTCATGAATTCCTACAAACTAAAATGTTTGACAAAAAACATATGTTTTAAATAAACCTGTTCTGCTCTTTCAGTGTCCATTTGAATAGGGTCATTAGATCTTGGCATACTCCAAACCTCTCTGGATATAACATTTTCCATTGGCTCTATTGTAGGAACATTTTGTGGTGGTGTTAATGTGTTGTTGTGCTAAAACATAAAATATATATCAGAGATAAAATAAAGGATATTTGCTTAAATATGAAAGTAGTAACTGGGTGACCGAGGTTCACTCAATATTTTTTCGGACAAGATATAAAAATTGTGTTATTTCAGAAAAGACACCCATAAAAATAAACTTGAAAAGAAAACGTTAGAGCCGTTTTGATATTATAAGATATGTTATTAATAATATATTACTAATACTTCTGTTTCATCTTCGCTGTCGTGGTCAGAAAGCACGGCATCTGGACCTTGTGGCAACGGTTCGTAACCAAAATGTTCATTTTGTTCGTCATCACTATCGTCATGAGTGCCATTTGCGATCAATTCATGTCTGGGAGGTGGTATTAAGTTTTGAGGGGAGTCGTCGGGTGGATCCGGTCCATCACAAACCATATTTAATATGATATTAACTAATCTTACTAGAACACTAGAATCTAAAATCAATTATGTAAAAAGAATTAAACAAAGTTACAAATCAGTTGTTTATTAAATGTTATTCAATGATGAATGAAGCAAACATAATATTTAAATTAAATATATTGCATTTGGTGACTGACAGTTGAAACTTGAAAGATAAATTCAGAATTCAGAAAGCCCACTTGACAGTTGACACTAGGGACTGTAAAAATTCTCTATGCCTGGGACTTGTTGAAAAAAGTTACATATACTTATTAGTAGGATTAGTAAGATACCTATTTAAAAAGAAAATGTTTTTCTAGTGGCCATTGTTAGTAGCGATTGACTCTCTTCTATATGTTTGTATAAGAGATTTATATTGTAAAATTACGACGTAGAAATAAATTAGCCATAAAATATAAATGAACTATATTATATAATCTTTAATTGTGTGTGAAGTCTATTCATTATATCGTGACACGTCCTTGGATTTGCTTATCAATCATATGCCTAATTTTCTTAGTGTAACTGACATTTATTTTAAATATTAAAATTTTTAACAGCTAATTTGAATAAAATTAATAAAGTTAAACTAAAAAACTGTTTATCCAGGAACATACTCGTTTAATTTTTAATATATTTGTTTATCTTGTACTTGTCTTATGACATAATTGCTTAGATATATTTTTCTAAAAATAATTTTAATGAATGGGATAAAAACACACATCACCATTATAGTTCCATGGTATGCTACGAGACTTGTGACATATACATAAAAAGTCTATGGTTTTATTTGTCATCCATGGTCTATGGTTACATGCACAGACCAAGAACAACACGATGATAGATACATCACAGATCTGTCATTGTATTGTATTTACGATAATAGTAGATGTAAGAAGAACCATTTTATATCGAAAACAAGTAGAAAAAGTGTCAGTGGTGAGCAGCAAATTGTAATTCGGAAACTCAACGATATCGCGCTAGCGTAGCATTAAGCGAATGTTTCAATGTAACAACACTCAACACTGCAACAGCAAGTTGAAGTGATAGCCGATAGGTATGAATTTATAGTAGGGGAGCCCAGGAGGGGATTTTTGTAGTTACTCAAGCGCGGCAGATTAACATAAAAGAGGTTACCTTGCACTCTATTGAGTACTTTCACCATAATATAAGTCTTCTATATAAAGGGGCGCGTCTAGGGAAGCCGATTAAAATATTTAAAAAATGTTTTGATAAGGTAGAAATACTTGAAACCGTCAGATTAAGGTGTGGTAGGCTAGTCACATCCTGAAAAGTGTCCAATTCAATAATCTGCCGATTTGCACAAGCCGAAGAGGCAAAAATCGACTATAAAGTTTATGATGATTAAATTGATTAAATTCATCTACTTGTTTTCTGTGGTACCACCAATTTGGTGCTTGTCAGCGGTCACTTTTTATACATAGAGATAGTTTTCCTTACCTCTACCGTCCATATAATGTTAATTGTTAACAAAACACTAGCAACCACAGACCAGGAACAACAAGCTAGCAACTCACCTATGCACCCGAAATGAACTTCGGGTTCGTCCCTAGAGAAAAACAAATGTCCCACGGAAACGATAATTTTTTCTGTGATGATATAATATAGCCTTCCTCAATAAACGGGCTATCTAATGCAAAAAGAATTTTTCAAATCGGATTAGTAGTTTCTGAGATTAGCGTGTTCAAACAAAATCTGCATCTTTATAATATTAGTATAGATATAGAAGTACCTATAGATTCATCTTAAAACAAAAGATATCAATAATTACATTTGATTAGATTTTTGAGTGGTTCTACTCGGAACTAACATCAGCCAGTCTGGTGCTTAGTATTACCTACTTTGTGTATGGCTAAATATTAATATCTATCTATACTAATATTATAAAGAGGTAAAGTTTGTGATATTGTGAGTTTGTAATGTTGTAGGGGGTAATCTCTGGATCTACTAAACCGATTTTCAAAATTCTTTTACCAATAGAAAGCCACGTTCTTTTTGAGTGTCATAGGCTATATATTAACCCGAGGAATGAAAATACTTTTTTATGGTAGTCGGATTTGCAAAGTAAGTCGGAGAAAAAACGGTCGAACGAAAATGTTTCTTACCAACCGCGAACCGCGTCGTAACCTATTGAGTGATATTTCTGGTTTTTTTCATATATAATACGACAATCTATCTATACTAATATTATAAAGAGATAAAGTTTAGGAGTTTGTAAATTGTTTTTGACGTTGTAGGGGGTAATCTCTAGATCTACTAAAACCGATTTAGATAAAATTTGGTAAGAAGATAGTTTTAGACCCTGGGAAGGACATAGGATACTTTTTATTCCGGAAATTATCCCTCAAGGGGGTGAAAATGGGAATGAAAGTTTGTATGGGAAAGCAAGCTAGGGACGAACCCGAGCGAAGCGAGGGTGAGTCGTTAGTAGTTTTATAAACTAGTAGGTATCCAATTAAATATTATTCCTAAATTATATTAAACAAAATACATAGCTCTACATGTTGCATTATGATATAGCGAGTGCTTTGATTAACTATAATAATTACATAAAAAATACAATATGTTAGTGCATAATATGTGTTTTCGTGTGTGTATACAGTATCTTTTTTACACTGGAATCTCTAACCACCTTTCTTATAAGTAGCTTATATAGTTTCATGTTCATTTAGAAAAAAAACTGTTATTTTGAGATTACAAACAGACACTTTAATTTTATCTATCTGTATAGGTTTATACTAAATTTTAGAGTTAAGAGAATCGAAGCGCATTCATGACCTAGTTTGCTGACGAGTTGCGATAAATTAGCAATTCGATTCGATTCGGCTGAAATGGACGCACCAGGAATAAATGCGACTCGAGTCGACTCGTTTCGATTCGACGCGTTGCTGCTGTAGTCAACGCCACTCGCCAGGCTTAAATGTCTATTGTCAAGCAAAATATAATTTTTCGGCACGATAAAAATCAACAAAAATCGAATATTAGGGTTCCATGGAGTAATGTTTTTTCTCCTTTAGTCATTTTAATTTTATTAAATATGGCTTGGAGAAGTCATGGCATAAATAATGTCGATATGGTGCGAAATTTAAGAGGTAATGTAAAATTGTAAATAATGCTTATTTTGTAAATAATATTATTATAATTCAAATATTTTTTTTATTTACTAACTTTTTTAAATAACTATGTATGTCTCATACAAGTTATCATAATAGAAATATAATTATTGTAAATTTCAGCGAATGGAATAATTAAATCCGATGTTGTAGCAAACGCAATGATAGCTGTTGATCGGAAGAATTATTGTCCGCATTCACCTTATCACGACTCACCACAGTCAATTGGATACTCTGCTACCATCAGTGCGCCACACATGGTATTATTTTTAACATATTTGTATTTTATTATATTTGGCGGAGCAGTGTTTAGACCGTTTTTAATGCCTTACTTTTTCCTATCATTATAATTATAATGGATAAATCATTTCAGTCAGAAATGTTATTTGTCTAAAGGCCAAAAAATTGGGCATTGTATTCTATTCTATAAAATTTTCTTGTTATATTACTTCAAAGCATGCTAATTGGAAATTATACCTTATATTGGCATAATTTGTAAAAGAAAGTTTTTTTTTTTAAATTCAAGCCCACTGGGGTAAAAGGGGTTGGTTATAATTTAATGCCAAATAATATTATCAATTATCAAACTGGAAATAAAGGCCAGGTATAGTCTGGAAAGACAACTTGCTTGTTATATTTTCAATGTTAACTTATACCTTGAATGAAAAATATGTACCTTGAAAAAAAAAACAACTAAAAATCGTGATCCCTGATATTATTTCAGCATGCACATGCACTAGAGAGGTTGAAAAAGCAACTGATACCTGGAGAAAAGGCATTGGATGTAGGCTCTGGATCTGGTTATTTGACAGCATGTATGGCATTCATGGTTGGTGAGACAGGCAGAGTTATTGGAATTGATCATATTTCAGAATTGGTATCTTTGGCAACTAAAAACATAAAACAAGATAACCCTGAATTGCTATCATCAGAAAGAATTAAACTAGTTGGTTAGTTTTATTAAGTAATATCTATATGATTATGAAGTTAACCAGAAAAACAATATTTTGCTTATTTATAAAATTATATTTTGATAAATGAGGTCCTTCTTATGTTATGGCAATGACTTTTGTATTGATTCCTGAACATATAGTATTATAGTTTTATACAAGTTTAAAAAAAGATTATATTCACTCTTTATGATCATAATCTAATGATGCAACCAGCTTTTAGTGCTGATTGTGAATGATTTACTTAAAAATACTTTAATTTTTTATTTTAAAGTTGGTGATGGACGTTTAGGATTTCCTTCAGAGGCTCCTTATAATGCAATTCATGTTGGAGCTGCAGCTCCCACTTTACCCCAAGCTGTGAGTGTAATTTTTATTAGTACAAAAAATATTTTAGAAGTTCAATAGACATGTTCTCAAAAAACAACTTTTAGCAATTTGTTGTTCACAACAATTAAAGTTACAACAATATCTTTTGCTTGAAATTGTCACAGTTATATTGTGTTTTTTTTTTAATTATGCAATTGGCACTAACAGATTGTAAATGCTCAAGGTAAATTGATAATTCCTCTAATATTACATAATTCATTTTGGTGCAATACTTAACCATGATTTAAAAGCAAATAAAAGCTGCACACATTTTAAATTGCTCAGACATGCCTAAGCAAATCCCTTAATTAAATATGTTTATTTACAATTCAAATTCTATTTCACAGCTTGTAGAGCAATTGAAACCGGGGGGTCGTCTGATTGTCCCTGTAGGACCAGAAGGGGGAGAACAACATCTTACTCAGGTATTGATAAGTAATGTGATTTAGTGTAATCTTAAAATATATCATGTTACGAATTTAATGTTTAGAAATGTTTTTCATATTTAGAAACAATTTACTTAAATATTTGATACTACTTGCGCATCGACTACGTGATGACATATTGGTATTTGGTAATGATACTAAAAAAAGTAATAAACCTTCAAGGAGAAAATAATTGGATATTTTGTTTTAGAGACATTACAAACATCCATGATTCATTATTTACATAATATAAATTAGTTATTTAAGATAACCTGTAAATTGCATTATCAATGTATTGTAGTATTATATTCTCGATAGTGAATTTTTCTCCAAATTTTACCTATTCAAATAAAAAAGAAACATGGAAATCTTCCGCTATTGCCGAAAATATTGCATAACATACACCCTAATTGACTTTGTTTCTAATACTTCTTATATTTTCATGAATATTTAACATTAAATAAAACTATCTTTTTGGAATTCTTCGCGGATTTATTTAGGTATTTGGTTCCCATTGTTTCGAATGCTTTACAGCAATCATGGTCACGGGTGAGATAAAGGTCTTAGACGTTTCAAAGGTCATTATATAGTTGTCATAGACAGTCACAGTTGGCTCACCATCACTTCGCTCGGGTTTGCCTCTAGAAAAACTAAATCAAATCTATTATCCCTTGGGAACCACATATTTTTCCAGGATAAAAAGTAGCCAGACTATAATCTATCTCTGTACCAAATTTCATCTAGATCTGTTCAGCCCTTCTGGGTTGAAAGAGTAACAAACATCCATAATCACAAACTTTCACATTTATAATATAAGGATTTCAAAAAATACAATAATGGTACCAAAGTACCTTACAATTTTTCGTTTCTTTCCTGATTATTTTAATCTTTAGGTCTAATTCTTCTTCTTTAGGTGGATAAAGCTCTAGACGGCACAACTTCAGTGAAGAAATTGATGAGTGTGATTTACGTGCCCCTCACCGACAAGAGCCACCAGCGCCGTGAGTGACCATTACCCTTAACAATCATTTTTGCCACAGTTGCCGTGGTCATTCTAATTACCTACTTCGCTTCCTAAACGATCCCTGTGATGATACTCTACGCCTCTGGACGATTGCTTGTAAATATTCTGAAATTATAGTATAAGTAAAATATTTTCGATTTAAGCCCTCGCATCATCTGGTACAAACTACAAGCAATATCTTTGTAATATATACCTATGTGTTCTAGGTCCTAGGCGTTAGGTTGCCTTGGCATGCTACGTAAATAAAGAGTCTACTAAATAGAATGGCTTTTTATTTCTTTTTATAAATTTATTGACAAATTGATGTAATTTATAATTTATTATTATCTTTATTTCTACTGTTATCTCATTCTGTACATGTGTGTGTGCAATAAATTAATATACTTATTAAGTTAATGGTTTCATTTCATATTCCTGAACAGGTTTCCAGTGAACTTTTTTTTGACAAATGTGTTCGACTTCTCAGAGTGAGAGGGTTCGGCCTTCACATGTAGTATGGAATATAATGTTTCTGCCTCATTCTTGTTTTCAATAATCTCCAAAAGTTGCTCCTGCAATATATATTATACTATAGCAAACAAATATTATTATATATCAGTGCAATTGTTAAGAATTCATTACAAGTGTATACCACCCTTAAAAAAAGTTATTCGTTTTTTAATTAACATATTTATAATGTATTTTCAGTTTTCAATGTTCTATTTAGTAAAAATTTTAAAATAATATGCTATAATGAAAACCCTTTGTTGCTGGGACCGTGTTCGCCTCGTCACTGGACGTGCACTAACTAGCACGGGCGATGTAAACAAACATAGATAACCATATTATACCTGACTGAGAGTAATCAAATTATCCAGAGAAATTCCTCTATTCATAATCCTAGTGATATTTTTGGATGTGACTCCTGGTAGTTTTTGTACAAAATCGTGAACCAGAATGTTACATCTTTCGTAGTTCATATCCTCGGCAGTGTTTTCATTACTCAAGGCTATTGCTTCTTGAATGTTTGGGTTCTTGCGGCCTTGCTATAATGTAAGTTGATGATCAATTTTAATTATTCTCATATTTTAAAGCGCATATACAGGATTAGCGTGTGTAAGGTTTTTTTAACAACTACGTGATTTTAATAGAACTTGCATTGTAAACCTATATTTTAATACCCCACTAGATTGAATCAGATGAAAAAATCTTTTACAAGAAACAAATTTGTGCCTAAGATCCGCCATTTTGATTTTTAATTATATCTATATACTCTATAACACTCGCGTTATCAAATCGAATCTAACTACGTATGAATAATCAAAATTGGTTAAGCCGTTTAGTAATTACGAGGGAACATAGGATCATACATACATACGGGTCAAACACATAACCCTCCTTTAGGCTTCGCCGCAGTCGGGTAAAAAGGTATCTACACTGTCATCAAAAGTACCCCCTTTTTTTAAGTTGTTCAAAACAACATAGTTAATTATTATTGTTAGTCATTACATATAACGATAAATTAAACATTGATTTACTTTGAGCTCGTAGAAAAGTTCCGCTGTGGCGTACGGGCTCGGCGACCAGACCAGTTTCAATCTCGGAAAGTGAATGGTTAAGAGTTGCAATTTCTGTTGAACGTTGGCGCTTGAAATGTCGGTGGACACTACAAAATTTCCCTGCGATAAACAATTATTGTTGTAATAAATGAATATGGAACATCAATACTCCAGTTCTTTGTCTAAAATAAATGTAGCCTAAGTTATTCCTTATAACATCAGCTATCTGCCAGTAAAAGTGCCATCAAAATCAATCCAGCCGTTTCGGAGATTATTTATAAAAATAGATTTCTTTAATACACTTTCATATGCATTTAGTAATAAGCTGTTATTTTGTATTTACAAACAGACACTTCAATTTTATTTTTATATATAGATGAACTTAATTAAATGGCCCGTCATTCAAGTGGATTGCATCCATCGGCTTCCTGATAGGGCTAAGTTATTGAGTTTCTATTGTCAAAAAATGCTCAGTAAAGCACGTATCGTTTCAGTCCTGCGTCTGATCTCTCACCGTGGTTATAGAATTATCGTCCCACCGGAATATGAGGACGACAGGAATAATAATTTCCTCTAAAAAACTATTTTAATTTATATAAAGAGGTTTCTTTATTTTTATTTAGCATTACAATATAAAATACAATTTTATTTCAATATTACTCAAATAATTGTTCCTTGATATAATTAATATACATATTTTTTATTTCTAATGTGGTAATATTGTGTTCTAATCTAACATAAGAATTAATGCAATTTTGGCGTGGTTTTGGTAACTTTTATAAACACTAAATAAATATTCATAGTGACCTATATTTCGATCTGTTTAGGTGCTACCACCTACCTGCAAATTGAAGGGTTTGTTCTGGTCGAACTCGATGAGGAGTATAGGCCGGCTGTAGTTCCTGCACATGTGCGTGCACTGCGCGTAGAGCCGCCCGGAGTTGAGAGACCCGATCAGGTCCGATATGGATTTCCTCTCCACGCATATGTCCGGCGTGAGAATGTAATCTCCAATCTGAAATTAGAATTATTTTACAGTTTATCTAGAGCACTTGAATAGTAGTTTTCGACCGTGACTCCTAGTGTGGATATATAAAAATTAATCTAAATGTACAAAACCAAGTTTAATTTCACTAGGTATACGTTAGTTACAGCGTGAAGTAACAAACTTTAATTTTAATTCATGATATTGGTAAATGTCTAATGATAAGAAAGTGGTGATCAGTAGTCAAATTATTTTTATACAAAACAATAATTATTAGACAAAGCATAAATGGACTCAGTAATTCACGTTTCATTTAACGGTCCATTTGATGCCTTAATTTTACTACAATTACTTATCTATACATATAATAAAATTCTAAATAAGCCGAATCTGTACATTAAATATTTTTTGAAAAATCTTATTAAAATAGACATTATTATCGATACAGAGGCCGAATGTATAGTTTTTAGAATTTTTGTCTGTCTGTCTGTTACCACTTCACGAAAAAACCACTGGAGGGATTTTGATGAAATTTGGTATGATGATAGCTGGTTATCCGGGTCAACTATCTCGGGAGGAGTTGATAGAACGGGAGAATATCTCATTTCTGAGAAAAAATACAAAAACTGCAATGTAAGAGTATACTAATATGTAAAACCTAAGAATTTGGTTTTTGGTCATTTCAACGCGGGCGGAGCCGCGGTCTATGCTATTATACCTAATATGAGGACTTTAAAAGCACACGACAATTTTTTTACCGCGCTACCGACTTGTATTTGTATAGATACGAGCGTATGCAAGCATTTGTTAGTTTAACAACGCAGAATCCGCACTTTCACTCCGTTTTGTTGTTAATTAAAACAAACAAAAAGTTTAAAGATATTTTTGCATCAAACAAAACAAAAAAACTTTTTTCACAAACTGTAGTTTATAAACCAGTTTTTTCTTATCAAAGGTTAAATTAACTCCTGTTTAATCATGCATTGATAAATTATAATCAATGACATCTAAATAAAAATAAAATGTAATCTTACGGTGATAGTGACAGGCTCTATGTTGATGCCCTTTCTGTGCAACAGGGCGGGTAGGTCGGAGCGAAACTCTCTCATGTCGACAATAACCATTGGTTTCTCCTGGACACGTACTTGTCCTCCTGTTGGTGCAAACATTATATAATCAATATGTTTCCAAGTAAAGTCGAAGCCAGAGCAGGATGCTTGTAAATGAGAGAAAAGGAAAAGCTATTTTCATTTATTTTCCCATACTGCTCGTAGACTTATAACTAATGGCGTAGCTAGAGGGCGTCGGTGTGGGTGGCTGGCCCAAGTTTGTCAATATAATAAACGGGTATCACCCTTAATCGGGTGAACTTTTCTATTATTATGGCGTTCATTAAAAAATTGTCATAATTTAATGCAGTATAAATATTTTAGAAATTGAATTCATACTATAGTTTAGGTTTGATCGTGGCTTTGCTCGCGTAATACATAGAAAAAGAGTAGCCTGTCTTTATTTCAACTCTCTCCATTCCGAATAACACTTGAATCCGATTAGCCGTCACAGAGCAAATAAGAAATAAACAAACAGAGGTGTAACTGTTTAAAAAAATACTAGATATATTTTCCACATTTACATGTAGTTAAGTTGGCATTTTGCAGACCTGCTTTCCTTGTATCTGTTGAAGTGTCCTCTTCTTCAATATTCATATTAAAATACTCATCAGTTTTGCCATCTTGATAAGAGGGCACCACCATCACCTGATGTTGTAAAAGATACACATCTTTATTAATAAAAATCACTACATATAATAAAATTGTAACTAAGCTGAATCTGTACATTAAATATTTTTTGGAAAATCTTATTGAAATAGACATTATTATCGATACAGAGGCCGAATCTATAGTTTTGAGAATTTTTGTCTGTCTGTCTGTCCGTTACCGCATCACAGAAAAACCACTGGGGAGATTTTGATGAAATTTAGTATGGTAATAAATAGCTGGTTATCCGGGTCAACATATAGGATACTTTTTACCGCGGGAAAATATCTCATTTCTGAAAAAAACACAAAAACTGCAATGTAAGAGTATACTAGAATATATTATAAACTTATATGTAAATATATATATACACTAATATGTAAAACCTAAGAATATGTTTTTTTTAAGAATATGGCTGGCAATGCTAGTTATAAAATAATTTAAAAAAATCTAACTTTAAAGAACATAATACTAAAAAGTAAAAAATAACTGATTTATTTGTGTGCGCCGCATAAACTAATAGAGTTATATGAAAACAATTTATTAAAGAATTATTCCTCTTTAAAATATCTATTATACTGTATCAACGCTATAATATGTACGTTCCTAGGGAAGGACCCTTTTTTTTTAACGTTGGGAAATGCATTTACGCACGATGTGTGGGTCTCACCGGCGTAATACAGCCAGTAATACCCACTAAAACCCAACAAAACCTTCCCCCGTCTTAATGGGGCGTCGCAGGATCGCTTACGCATTCAACCACGACGCCCCGACGGCAGGTCTGCCGAAGCAGATCACCACAACCATGGGGTTGCTCCAAGGTCCACTCTGCTATCAGAGAAGTACCAGGAGCAACCCGCATGGTACACCGCCCTCCGAAGAGGGCCACCTCCCACCGCCCACCGAAGTGGGCAACCTCCCTGTGCGTTTCTTAGCTTCGCGCCCGGTTGGATTGCCGGGCACTACTAAGCCCCCCCACCACGACAAGGTGAACGCACGTTGGGGGGGCTATGGAAGGACCCGAGCGAATCGAGGGTAAGCCTAGTTATCATATAAATAAATATATAGTAGGTATCCGGCAATTATCCTAAAGATATTTAGCAGATTTTGATGTTACCCAACAGGATTTTTTTAACGCGCTTTTGCTAGTTTTAATATTACCCTACTTCTAATTGTTTGTAAAATGTAATATAATAATAATTTGAAACCATCAAGCTGATTTGAAGATGGAACCAAGAGCTAAAGTAGTAAAACCATCCCCCCCCAACGTGCGTTCACCTTGTCGTGGTGGGGGGGCTCAGTAGTGCCCGGCAATACAGCCGGGCGCGAAGCCAAGAAACGCACAGGGAGGTGGCCCACTTTGGTGGGCGGTGGGAGGTGGCCCTCTTCGGGGGGCGGTGTACTGTGCGGGTTGCTCCTGGTACTGCTCTGATAGCAGAGTGGACCTTGGAGCAACCCCGTGGTTGTTGTGGTCTGCTTCGGCAGATCTGCCGTCGGGGCGTCGTAATTGAATGCGTAAGCGATCCTGCGACGCCCCATTAAGACGGGGGAAGGTTTTGTTGGGTTTTAGTGGGTAGTACTGGCTTCGCCGGTGAGTCCCATACCTCGTGCGTAAATACATTTCCCAACGTAAAAAAAAAGTAAAATCATAAAGATTTGGATAATTCAACATGAAAAACTTATCCTATATCCTTTCCCTTATCTTATCCTTAAAGTGCGTCAGATTTTAATAATAACTTAATGAAATAAGTAAATGTTAAGAAAATATGTTTACACTTTTTGTTTGTATAAGCATTTCGAATGCTTGCTTTTCTCTCCTCAGTGATGTGAGATATGCTTGTTCTTCCACAGTTTTATCATGAATAAGAAAATATACATTGCACTTGGGTTCTTCGGACTTTTTCTTACATTCGAACACTTCTATTTGTCTAACAGCGGACACATCGCAGTGATACAATATTATATATTCAGGCCGCAATGACTCCAAGGTTTGTTCTAACGAAAAATGGTTGCCATTTTGTTTGAATGTTTGTATACAAATGACAGGTTTTTCAACTTCTAGCTGTGTTAAGTCTAAGTTATCGATCTGAAACAATTTTAATAATATGAATAATATTTTTATTTAGTTTCTGCTGTCAATACTTTAGTTTGCGTCCCACAAGCGATCAAGAGAGCCGCGCTTGTACGAGTAACTGTGAGAAATTTAGATGATTTACAAGATTACTTGTTATTTCGATATTATTTATTTATTAAATAGGGCCTCACACTGGGTACGCGACTATACATGTACACCACGTGGTACATGTTTTGGATAAAGTCATTAAATGCCACTTTGCTTCACTTTCAATTTACAAGTGAAGCAAAGTTTCAAGTTATAACTGTAATCCAACATTGGAAATCAATTTTAATCTACTTCAGTCGATAACGATTTTAAAGTTTTAACGAGCCGATGATCATCTAATCTGATGTTGGAGCCAGTAGGTAGAACTCTCCAATATTAGTTAAACCTTCCGGGTTAGGGGCTCCTTTGTATCAATTGGACGAAAATACAGTACAATTGATTGGACATGTCTTTATTGTATAATCCTTTTTTATTATCTTTCTAGGTATGTCTCTTCTATACTATTAGTTTAAATATTATTAACAGTTACAATTTCACTCATTTATTAATAGAGATTCTAGATCAATGACCAAACCAACCTGTGAGAGGGACTCAAACATGTTTTCATCAGACAATTTGTTATTTACACTTGTATTATCCAGTTGAGTGAGAGTTAAGATATAATTTGATCTGTTTAATTCCTCTATATTAGCATCTTCTTCGTTTTGCTCATTCTTTTCCAAATCATTAACATCAGGATTTTCTATATCTTTTTTGCTTTCTTGTTTATTAGATATGGGTTTATTTAAATTTTTATATTTGGAAGCCATGTTTGTTATTGTTATCTCCCTCATAAATGCTGTATAGAATAAATACCTATTTTCTCCCATAGTCAGAAACTGATTAAGTTGGCTACATGATTTATTGTCTTGACACAATATTAATATTTTTGTTTTATTCAGAGAGCCATTTTCTTTTTTTCTCACTTCAGATGGTATCTCATCTAATAGTAATTCAGTCAAACATTTCCACTTTGGTGATGGTTCTGGATCAAATTCTGTAAATGAATATTTAGATATAAAATGTGTCTAGGTGTTTCCACCATTTAGTTTTTGTTCATTTCCATTTCATATATTATATTTGGGTCAAATGGTAGGCCGTTTGAGGCAAATAATTTGACAAAATTATGATATTTAATGATAAATACCTGGGCGACCGAGTTTCGTTCGGCGTTTGTTTTTGTTTTTCAGAAAAGATATAAAATTGTTTTTTTTCAAAAAATACAACTATATAGATAAACTAAAAAGCAAAACCTTATCTAAATACAAAATTTGATCCAAATCGTTAGAGCCGTTTGCGACATACACAAACTAAATCTATACTTATTATAAAAATAAGTCCCCCGGCCGCGTCTTTCTGTCCTCCTGTCTGTCTGTACGCGATAAACTCGAAAACTACTGAACGGATTTTTATACGGTTTTCAACAATAGAAAGAGTAATTCTTGAGGAAGGTTTAGGTATATAATTTATTATGCTTTTATGTAAATTAGCTGAAATACGGCGACAAATGTTGAAGAGGTCGCAAAAAATCTCGCCAAATGGGAACTTTCCACGCGAACGCCGCGTAAACTAGCAAAGATACAGTTAAGTAATGTACTAGAGAATTCAAAATCTATAAAAATGCTACAAAAAAGTCCGCGATAGCATATCTCTATCTCTTACGGTTGACTTACAATAACCACTTTTATGTTAACATTTTTAATTAAAAACATTACGTTATTTTCAAAGTTATTTTCTTTAGTTCGGTATTAATCCTTATCCAAATGAATATTTTAGTTAGCTTAGTCATTTAATGCAGATTAAAATTGCTCTTTACACTAAATCAATCAGATGAATAGTTTTTGAGATATCGTTGTTAGAAGTAATTAGTAGCGAAACATTTTTAATGCTTGGCGAGCATTGAGATGCCTACGGCGAGTCCATCCCCTCTGCCCCGCATCGCTCGACCGCCTGCTCAAGCTATATAAACCGGGCGATGTAGCGCGCGATCCTAGGATACTTTTTACCGCGGGAAAATATCTTATTTCTGAGGAAAAATACAAAAACTGCAATGTAAGAGTATACTAATATGTAACACCTAAGAATTTAGTTTTTGGTCATCTGAACGCGGGCGGAGCCGCGGGCAATGCTAGTATATAATAATAAGAATAATAACATAAACTTCTGGCCATCGCGTTGACCATTATTCTACTCAGACGCCGGCAGTGGCAGCAAAATTACGAACCATATTGCGCGGGCAAATCTTTTTGCGTGAAAATACGGTGACAACGAATTTTCCAGATTTGAGACCTAGCTAGATCGATAGTGCGTTATTTCTTACTGGTGATTATGATATTATTTTAGCCATTATATAAAAATTCTTACCATTTTTTTCATTAAAAACTCTTCGTTTTGCCACTTTAAATAACTGTTCAGCAGAGTCGAGTAGAATCCATCCAGAATTTACTTTAGCATATTCAGGTGTCCTATACTTACTTACTAAGGCATAGAATGACACTGAATCGTCATGAATTACATTACTGTGAAAATGTAAACAAAATAAAATAAAAAAAAAAACTTAAAAGGTAGGTTTCATAGTCTTTCATCCCCTATTTTACCCACTTATGGGATGAATTTTGAAAAATGCTAAAAGACGTATTTATTTTATTGTATTGAGGAGCATTACTAAGCATAGTGAGCATACTAAGTTTCAAATAATTCTGATCATACATTTTTTTGGGTTGTATTATAACATGTTTTCTCATGCGAATGAGATAATCTCCAGCAGTAAAAAGTAGCCTATGTCACTCTCCAACCCTTTTTTTTTTTTTTTTTAACGTTGGGAAATGCATTTACGCACGACGTGTGGGACTCACCGGCGTAATACAGCCAGTACTACCCACTAAAACCCAACAAAACCTTCCCCCGTCTTAATGGGGCGTCGCAGGATCGCTTACGCATTCAACTACGACGCCCCGACGGCAGGTCCGCCGAAGCAGACCACCACAACCATGGGGTTGCTCCACAGTCCACTCTGCTATCAGAGAAGTACCAGGAGCAACCCGCATGGTACACCGCCCTTTCGAAGAGGGCCACCTCCCACCGTCCACCGAAGTGGGCAACCTCCCTGTGCGTTTCTTAGCTTCGCTACTGCTACTGAGCCCCCCCACCACGACAAGGTGAACGCACGTTGGGGGGGTCACTCTCCAACCCTCCAACTACTCTATCTCCACACAAAAAATCACGCCAATCCGTCACTCTGTTTCGACGTGATAGAAGGACAAACAAACAAACACACTTTCACATTTATAATATTAATAAGTATGGAACGAGGTATGGATAAAAATGTGGCCAATTTATGTACTTCCTCTTGAATGTGAATGCTTCTTCTATTCTGTGAACCTAATTAGAATAGCTGGTGAAATAGTTCTCATGTAAAATTGAAGATTGAGGCCTTTGGTTCGAGTATATTAATACATTAATTTCTCTTACATTATCATTGTCCTCAAAACTTTTAAATCTTGAATGTACTCTTTGGTTCTTGTACTAAGTTGGTGCCAAACACAATCTAATTGAGACTGGAGAATTTTATGAAATTTCTTTGTAATACAATTTTCAGTAGTGATTTCCTGTATAAATATATTTTTTATTAAATATCAAACACAAAAAATTTAAGTAAAATGTTACTTAATCAGTGTGAAAACAGAAACTTACTTGCATATCAAGTGCTCGGTTGATGCTTTTTAATTGTTTAACTGTGTAATTCATAATATCTAGCAAACATGTTTGTATTTGACTCATAGATTTTGTTAATGGAACATGTATCTCAACAACTTCTGCTTGCCTGCTCTTTAGACTCTTTATTACAGTACCATGGAATCTGTAAAATTAAATAATCATAATAAAAACTGGAATATTATAAAAATAAATTACAAATAATAGTAAGTTCACTTTTGTTACCTTGGCCATAAATATAATTCAGTTACAAAAAGTGCTCTCATAACTTTTTCTACTTGATGATATCCAAATGTAAATGATATTGGTGAATTTGAAAATGCTTTGATAAAACCAGTCTACAAAAGTAATATAATTATTATTACATATAATTCCTCCTCAACTCCTTTAGGTTTAAAACCATTCTAACTATTATAAGCTTAAAATAAATTTTTCAAAGACAATTTTTTTTAAGTTTAACAAGGCAAAACATAGTTTATAATATTTTTTTACCTTGTTTTTCTGTCTGTATAATCTTAGTACAAATGCTTCCTGACATGATTCTAGCACAGTATGAGCTCTTAAAACAACAATTCCTGTTACATGAGAGATAGGGACACGGTTTTTTAACATGTCCACAACTAAAATTCTTGTAGAAACAAAATGTATACCACCTTCCATGTATATTTTTTCTCTAAAATAAATAAAAATAAAAAATATTTTATTTTAGTTTTTTATCTTATGCCATTTGGGCACACAATTGTTTTATTTTATTATGGGTTGAACTGTACAATCTATGACATCGATTTAAGGGAGGAGAGGGTGGGGTTGGAGGGGAGGGGTGAGAGAGACATCCCCTTAAAAGGGAAAACCGCGAAGGCTAGTAGTTTTCGAGATATTTCATTTTCGAAATTTCAATTTTTGAGGTTAACATTATTGTGAAAACAACTTTAAGCATTGCACTTAAGGTTCAATTTACATTGTTTTATATTTCAACTAGAATAATTACCTAAACACAATTGGTGACAGTTTTAAGACAACTTTTGCGTGTATAATAATAGGTACCGGAAAAGTGGCTACGGATTATAAAAAAAGTTATAAAAGTTCTAGTCGTTCTGGCACTCGCCGGCCGCTGCCGCGGCACGCTCGCTTCGCTCGCTCGGCTCGTGCGTTGTTTTAACTGTTCTAACTTTTTTTTTTAACGTTGGGAAATGCATTTACGCACGAGGAGTGGGACTCACCGGCAAAGCCAGTACTACCCACTAAAACCCAACAAAACCTTCCCCCGTCTTAATAGGGCGTCGCAGGATCGCTTACGCATTCAACTACGACGCCCCGACGGCAGGTCTGCCGAAGCAGACCACAACAACCACGGGGTTGCTCCACAGTCCAGTTTGCTATCAGAGAAGTACTAGGAGCAACCCGCATGGTACACTGCCCTCCGAAGAGGGCCACCTTCCACCGCCCACCGAAGTGGGCCACCTCCCTGTACGTTTCTTGGCTTCGCGCCCGGTTGGGTTGCCGGGCACTACTGAGCCCCCCGACCACGACAAGGTGAACGCACGTTGGGGGGGAACTGTTCTAACCTAACCAACCTAGAAAAAAAGGTTTCTGCCAAAAAATAACCTAAACCTATTTTAATAAAGCTTTCCTGCGTGGAAATAAAAAACAATTGCAACTGACACTAAAACTGACATTTCAAATGTGCGTCGCTTTTCCTATTTAGCTAATTCTGACATTGACATATCACATAACCAATATACTATGTACCAGTTTATATTTGTTATTATGTACATATAAATCAAGATTTTAACTATTAAATTATGTATTTAACTACAATAATGATTGATATTAACTCAGAACATAGAATATTGTAACGAACTTTGTGATAAACATCGATAAGTGCGTGTACATGTGGTACAATTACATAAAAAGTTGAAACTTGAAATTTTTTTTTGACAAATTTATTTGTTTCCGCGGTCTCAAACTTTATATATAAGCTTCTAATAGAGAGATCTATTAGTGAAAAAAATATGAATTTTCAACTTGATGTCATAGATTGTACAGTTGAGCCTTATTATGCTCACCTTTCACTACCTGTGTTAGGCATTGTGGGTAAATTGAATTTTTTGGAGAAATATTTTTCTTCATATTCGCTGCTATTAATAACTAACACTAAATTAGCAGGATCTTTAAAAACCCATAGTATATTAGAAACAATTACGTTATAATTAAGGCCTCTGAAAGGAAACAAGAACCGTTAATGTATAATAAATAATGTACTATTAATCTAAATTATCCATTGGATCAACCTACTTACTTTGCAATTATTAACAGAGCATCTTTTTCAAATATATCAATAAAAATTTGTTTTTCATACGGGAGCATTACAAAGTTAGTTTCAATATCAGGCAAAGATTCCTCTTCCTTATTTGCCTCCATTTTAATATTATATATGGGAAGACAATTAAATTGATTGTAAATATTCAAGTCTTTAAAGGCTTTTTTGTTATAATGGCTTACAGTTTTATTTATTATTTCAAATTCAACAAATATCTTGACAACTTGACATTGACATTTAACGATATGCATTTACGAATCATGGATGACAATTAAAAATATGAATTATGAATAAATTTTCAATAGATATTGAGGGAGTTGCTACCATTTAAAATATTAGCTTAATAAAACCGGCTACTACTGTACTACTTGTATATACTGCTATATACGTTTATCTTACTGTTTTATAAGGGTGGGTTCACACGGCATTGTCCTGCACGATTTTTTTGTATTCGATTTAAACAATTAATCAGTCGAGTGTTCACACGGTAGATTTTCATTCGTGTAAAAACGAATATCCGCAGTTCTCACACGTTGTCACAGTGTGAGAAGACGTCAGTGATGGATCTAAATACGTTAAAGTTCATTCAATTTGCTTGACAAGTCCGGTTAGTATTCGTTTAAACGTATAAATGATTTTTTGCGGTACAAAAGACGTGTGAATGGTTCTATGTACAATGTATGTGCCACTCGTCCCTAGCTTGCTTCCCCATACAAACTTTTATCACCATTTTCATCCCTTTAAGGAATGATTTCCGGGATAAAAAGTATCCTATGTCCATCCCAGGGTATCAAATTATCTTTTTACCAAATTTCATAAAAATAGGTTCAGTAGATCCAGAGATTACCTTCTACAACGTCACAAACTCACAATTCACAAACTCATACACTTTACCTCTTTATAATATTAGACATTAGTATAGATAGATTGACGTATTGTATATGAAAAAAACCATCTTATAGAAATATCACTCAATAGGTTACGACGCGGTCGCGGTTCCATACCTACGAATATGTTGTATTATCTCTTTAACCATTTGTCCAAATTATATGCAGTAAAAGGGAAATGTCTTTTGTTTTAAACCTTTTAGAAGATAAATTTACTTATTTTGATAAGAATTTAGAATTGTTGGTCATATTACCAATAAACATGACCTACTACCGATTTAAATTATTTTCTTAATATAAAAAAAACTACTTTTTGTGACTTAAATATAAAAGTTAGACATATGCTGTCGCTGACTTTTTTGTAGGCATTACTAAGCTCTACAACTTTTACAGATTAGTATTAGTAGGTATAGATACATATATTAAAATTGTAATTAAGCCGAATCCGTACACTAAATATTTTATGAAAAATCTTATTGAAATAAACATTATTATCGATACAGAGGCCGAATCTAAAGTTTTTTGAATTTTTGTCTGTCTGTCTTTCTGTCTGTCTGTTACCGCATCACAGAAAAACCACTTGATGAAATTTGGTATGGTGATAGCTGGTTATCTGGGTCAACATATAGGATACTTTTTACCGCGGGAAAATGTCTCATTTCTGAGAAAAAATACAAAATCTGCAAGAGTATACTAAAATATAAAAACTAAGTATTGTGTTTTTGGTCATCTGAACGCGGGTGGGGCCGCAGGCAATGCTAGTATTAGTTATAAATTTTTTCTTTCAACAGTGAATCTAGTGCTCTCTGCTGGTGCACTTGAAAACTAATTTATGTTCCAATTATGCATTAGCACACTTCGGTATTGTGCGTGAAAGTACGGCTTTAAGTGTTATGCTTTGTATTTGGAAAACAGGGAAAGTGTCAAATAACTTATCATTTTTCTTAGAATGTATGGCTGAATTATTTGGCTATACTATTTTAATATTTTAGATAAATAATATAGATAAAGAGTTAATTCGTTATTTATATTACTTTGAAATTATTATTATTACATAATAATATTCAATGACATCAACCATGGATGACTAATAAAAATATCAACTTTTTTTTTGCTTTATAATGTTGGCATCAATATCCTCCGGCGTCTAGTTGACTTCCGGTTCGCTCTAGCGTCACCTCAAGCGGGCAGAGGTTTTAATCCGCCATTTTGTATCAATGCGTACTAGCCACAGCTAATGTGCGTTGTGCTGAATTATTTAGACAGTATTGAAAGTTTTTGAAGTATATTAAGTGGTGTTAGTTTTATACAATTACTTAAAATAACCTAATTCGTTTAAAGTAAAGGTAATTTTTGCTCCTAATAATTAGATTATTTGGTTCGTAGTTTCCAGTTGTTAAAATAACGGTGTTATTCCAGTATGCAAATGCAAGGTATGAATCAATACGGGAATAGAGGATATGGAGGTCCACCTCAGCCCCAACGTCAAGGTGGTCGAAGGGGCAATAATCGGGGTGGGTTCCGTAATTCCCGATTTGAACATAATCAGTCTCAGAGAGGTCCAAATCATCTTGGAGGTCAACGTCCTAATAATGAGGTCAGTTAATGAAATTCATACGTAAGCATTTTTGTGTATGAAATAATTATAACTTGTAAAGAAATCAATTGTATGTGTATCAATTTTTACCGCCATCTTGTCTTTCTTCTCTAAAAATATTACCTACCTACTCCGAGCTGCAGGTTATATTTTATTAAAGTAGGTATAATGTGTTATTTTCGAATGATTTATATTATAATTATAATTATACGTGTAATATACAATAATTATTTAAACACATGTGCATTTGTCCGAAATATGCATAAATAGATATCTTTGGTGCACCCTAAGCAGTAACTTATACGCTCGAAAATCTATTTTTCGTATATAGTTATTGAATATTATGGTTATCGAATTTTATTCATAATTATAATTGTTGCTGCAGCCAATTAAACAAAATGAAAAACCTTCTCAACAACAAGCTCAAAATCAACAAGCTCAAGTACTGGGGAAAGAGAAAGAGGTGCCAATCCAGACACCTCCACAACAACAACCAAACAAACAGCCACCTCAGCAACAACCTACCCCACAAAATCAGCCTCAGAAACAACAGCAACAACAACAACAACCAAAACCACCACAGCAGACTCCACAGCAACCACCTAAAATGCAACCGCCCCAGCAACCAATGCAACAACAGCAGAACCAAGGAAACATGAATAAATCTGATTCGCAGGATCATGTAGACAAGTCTGCTCCCAATGATAACAAACAGAATCAGAATAATCAAGGTCCATTCCAAAAGGTAATAAATGTTAATATGTAATTGTTAATGTTGCAACAACAAATTATATATTTATTATTTTAATGTTTGTTAATATTTTAATATATTTGGTTTATGCTTTTACTAGGGTCCTCCTAAACTGATGGAAATGAGGCAGGAACCAAACACAAATGTAATTATTTACTTACTAACATTTATTATATAAATATTATAGTCTCCTACATAACTAAGCATTTATTTCCATTTTAGAATTTTAATGGAGGTAACTTTGGAGGTAATAAGCAAGGTGGTTCATGGAGCCAGGGAGGAGGACCACAGGGTAACAGACAAAGTGGCAACTTTGGCCCTAAGGGCTTTAACCAAAAGCAAGGTGGTCCAGGTGGACAGGGTCCAGCTCGCAATCAACAAAGGATGTCCAACCGTGGACCACAGCAGGATGGAGGAAAACCTGTTCAAAGAGAAGTATGAAAAATCATACATAATCATATATGCATTGATTTTATCACATTACAATTTATCCAAGTTTTAATAAAAACTAACTTCTCTGCTTAGTTTATTTTGTTATAAAAGTAATATTATTATTTTCATTTGTGTTAAAATTTTACTGTTGCATTCATAATACTGAAGATGACTGTGATTTTAGGAGCATATGCTGGCTAATAAATTAAAGGACTTGATGGGACCCTTAATAGACTTGCCTCCAATTGAACAACCAGAAGTGAAATTTAATGGTAGAAGTCGTTTGTACATTGGTAATCTAACTAATGATGTTACTGAAGAAGAGATTCTAAATTTATTTAATCAATTTGGGGAGACTGCTGAATTGTTTCTCAATAAGGAGAAAAACTTTGGATTTATTAAAATGGTAATGTGAATTTACAATTTTTGTTTATTAATAGTTTCATGTATATTTATCTTGTTTAATTCATTTTTTATTTAATTTAATTTTAGGATTATCGCGTGAATGCTGAGAAGGCTAAACGTGAACTTGATGGTAAAATGCGAAATGGTAGAAATATAAGAGTTAGGTTCGCTCCTCATAATAGTGCAGTGCGTATTAAAAATCTACCACCATTTGTTTCTAATGAACTGCTTTATCGGGCGTTTGAAATATTTGGCAAAATTGAGAAAGCTTATGTAAAAGTGGATGAGAGAGGAAAAACTCTTGGAGAAGGTATTGTGGAATTTGCACGTAAACCCAGTGCACTTGCTGCAATTCGAAATTGTAGTGAGAAATGTTTCTTTTTAACGTCGTAAGTATATAATTATATTGTACATTTTTTTTAATATTATAATGGGTATATTGAGTTGTTATAAAATTGTCTTATTTTTAAAAGGTCCCTTCGTCCTGTAATTGTGGAAAATCTTGAGGAACCAGATGAGTTTGATGGATACCCTGAAAAGAACTTGCCTAAAAAACATCCAGAATTTTTGCGTGCTCGTGAGGTATGTATATTTGTTTCATAAATGTAAAAGACTTTTACTGTAAAAGTAAGACAGTTTGACTGTTATATAAGAATTTCCTAGATCTAGGTCAATATTTGACATTTTAAGTAGAAGTCTCTTTTCGAAAATTTATAGGCCGGTCTTTCCCCTGACCATATGATTGCTGTAAAGCATTTGAAACGTCGAAAATCAAAAATCTAAATAAATGTGCATTTTAATTAATTACCATAACCTTTCATTTGATACCATCATAAAAAAAAATTTTTTTAGTTCATGACTTGGTCCTCTAGAAGAACACCACCATATTTAAATTAATGTGACGTCAGTTCAATTTAGTGTGACGTTAACCAGCGGACAATCAAAACTCTTCCAATTTTATACCTCATTTGTCAAATTATGATAAGTAGTTTAGAAGTTGGAAACTGATGAATGTATATATACCGGTCACAATCATAACATTCCTTTTACTTTGCTGTAGTTCGGTAAAAAAAACCGTTAAAACAGTTTTATTTAAAACTAGTGGCTCACCCTCGCTTCGCCTCTAGGAAAACAACAACAAACCTATCCCACGTGAACTGTACATTTTTTTAGGATAAAAATAGGCTATGTGTTATTCCATACTATGATCTGTCTCTGTGCAAAATTTCATCCAGATCCAGGCAGCCGTTCTGGCGCGAAAGAGTAACAAACATCTATATATACTCACAAACTTTCACATTTTTAATATTAATATGGATTTTATATATATTTTATTTATAATAGAGATAATGGACTTATGGGTGTTCGGTTTAGTTAAACTAAATACACTAATGTTTACTTCGTTGCAGATAGGGCCGCGTTTCTCAGAAGCTGGCAGTTTTGAGCATGAGTATGGTACAAGGTGGAAGCAGCTACATGAACTTCACCGTCAGAAAGAGGAGGCACTAAAGAAAGAATTAGCTGCTGAAGAAGAAAAACTGGAAGCACAAATGGAATATGCTAAGTAAAAGAGATTTTTTTGTTTTAAATTTTTTTTGGCCAGTGTCAAGATAACTATATAAAACCCTGTGGTAATGAATTTATTACCATGCAGAATGTTATCTTTTTTAATAATTAACTTTTTTATATATACAAATTGTTTATCATGCCACAAATTGCTACTATGCTAAAATTAGCTTTAATGTTCATTTTGACATGAGTTCTCCTTGGTCAAAAATACGACTTTTCATGGTGGACGGTTTTGAAGTTAAAACATTGTAGTGCAACTGTAGATCTTATTTTCTTGTATTATTATTGAGCATGTAAAATAACACACACTTTGTTTATGCCTTTTTGTATAGATCTATGATTGTTTTTTCATGCAAAACTACTGAACGGATTTTGGTTAAAGTTTGCAGTAATAAAGTTATATATCAGAGTAACACATGGCTATTTACACTAATCTCGGAAACTACTGATTTGATTTTGAATAATAGGAAGTTATATTGGCGCTTTATGTTTTAACTGACTTCCCAAAAAAAGGAGGAGGTTCTCAATTCGTCGGAATCTTTTTTTTATGTATGTTCGCCAATTATTCGAAGACGCCTGAATCGATTTGGAAATTTTTTTTTGTTTCAAAGGGTTATACTTCCCAGATGATCCCATATAAATTTTATCAATATTGGTCGAGCGGTTTTTAACAAAATCAACAATAAATATATTTTTTAAATAAATTGTTTATTTGAATATGTTATTAAAATCTTTCTTCTTACTACCTGCTTATTACGTCTACACTAAAAATGTAAAAAATAACTAAATGGAGGTTTTAATTGGACCCAGTTATGCAAAAAACAGCCATGTGCGTAAAAGTACCAACAGAGTTATAAGCATTTTATAATAAAAAATAAAATAATTATAAAAAATAAACAATACTTATATAAATAATGTTCAATTTTAAAATAACCAGAAAAACAAAACATAATCCAAGTGCAACTATCGACAGAAAAATGCTTAGAATAGATACCTAATCGGATATTTTCGAAGTCGGTGCCAGCCGACAATATTTTAAGATATGAATATCTAATAGGTAAATATGTATTTCACGTATCGAAATATATTAGATTTGCTTTGCGATTTCGAAGTAAATTATAATGACTAATTGAAATCGAAAAATTAAAAGATACAGTAGTACAAAATGAAACTAGTCATGTGGTATAACGTCGCGCGGTCGAACAGGTACGAGCACGAGACGGAGCTGCTGCGCGAGCAGCTGCGCCAGCGCGAGCAGGACCGCGAGCGGCAGAAGCGCAGCTGGGAGATGGCGGAGCGCGCGGCGGACGAGCGCCGCGACGCGGAGCGCGCGCAGCTGCAGCGCCAGGAGGAGGAGCTGTCCGCGCGCATGCGCCTGCAGGACGACGAGCTGCGCCGCCGCCAACAGGAGAACACGCTCTTTGTGCAGGTAGGTACACGGCGCTAGGAGGACGTTATTTTAACTATCCCACTGGAACCATGCAAAATTTCATTTAAATTGGTCAGTTTCGGAGATTAGCCTGTACAAACAGACAGAAACAAAAAAATTAAAATAAATGGTTTGTTCTATTTCTCTTCTTACACCTCCCTGACTCGGTTTTTAGCATTTTTTTTCTATGTACAGATATTCGACCTCTACAGTTTTATTATATGTATAGCCTACCAGAACCCGCAGCTACGCTCGCGCTAAAATTACAAAAAAATCTCTAAGAAGGTAGTTTCATACAAACTTTCATCCTCTATTTTATCCCCATATAGGATGATTTTTGAAAAATGCTAGGACACGTATTTAATTTTATTGAAGAGTATATATACCAGATTCAAGTAATTCTGATAATAAATATTTTTTTTTGAATTGTATTGTAATGTGATTTCCCGTGTGAATTAAGTAATCTCCCGCGAAAAAAAGTAGCCTATGTCGCTATCCAGCTCTCGCAACTATCTCCACACAAAAAATGACGCTAATCCGTTACTCCGTTACGACGTGAAAGAAGGACAAACAAACAAACACACTTTCACATTTATAATATTAATATGGATATCAGTATCAGTATGGCCATTTCCATTTTGGCCAGTTTTTTATCGATAGGCGAATTCATAAAATCAATATTTTTCAGGCACAACGTCTCAACTCGATGCTAGACCGTCAGGAACAGGGCATGTTTGACCATCAGCAACCTATGGTAAGTACGCTTTGTATTCAAATGAAAAAACGCATTATGGAACGACTTTATTTGGAACAAAATATGCTCGAGAAATAACGGGATGCACTACGAGTAAAGTCCTTTCTTATTGATTATTCAATTTCTTATAATGAACAATCTTGTACTGATTGAACTTACAAAAACCATATACCTAGCTCTGGAATTAGGGTAATTTACCTCCAAGGAGCAACAATGTTTCTGAAAATAGAGTAGAACCCATTGGTACAATGCTTCAAATACGTAAATTGAATTATAGTACTATTTGTTACATATACAAATTTAATATATACATTTTTTCATATTGTACATGAAGTAGTTCTGAAAATAAGCTAGTATCGTAAACTACTAGACGAATTTTATTAATGCTCGTAACTATGATCGATGCTTTATAAAAAATTAATAGTTATTCGTCTGTTTTGAATATCAGAATCTTATACACAAAAACAAAGCAAATCTATGTTTATCCTAATAAATGTAAAAGAAACAACACAACATATTTTTCGATAGAATGACGTCCTAGGAACGATAATTAATACTAAAAAATAAATTGTAATTAATGGGTTCTACGTTTACCGACTACGACTTCATTATGTGCATCATATTTTATCAAATGCGTATTTAGTGATTGTATCTTAACATATTGGACTTACAATATTAATCCATGGACTTACTATTTTTACTTTATGCTTTAATCAATAATATTTCTATAATTAAGTACATTTTAATTCTTTACGGGGTAGGCAGAGGGTGCTTGGTGGCTAGCATCGGGTGCCCACTCTAACGTGGCAAGAGTTATTATAACGTGGCAAGATCATTCCGATCATTAAATATCATCGGTCCCTATTCATTTTGACAGATTAATGAAAAAAGGTAGTTACTATTTTAGATACATTGAATACGGAAGTTTAATTTACGTGAAATACAAACTATACTCTATAAATAGCGACGCGCACTCTAAGAACGACAACTAAAATTACGATTTATATGGGTTAAAAAAAATCATAGCAATTTTTTAAGTGAATGAATGAATTCATCAGTCATACCAATACGTAGCGAAACTGAGTTTAACTAGAGTTAATATTAACTTTGAAAGGTTGATTTTTGACTTTTATTTTATAGCAAAATGTCATTATATTCAAAACAGTTGTCAGTGTTTGCATCCGATAAGAATTAATTAGTGGTACGAGAACTTAAAAATAAAATTAGTTCTATTTAATTAATTTCCTTTTTTTTAGTAACCTATGGTCTAAAATATTTTTTAATAATTGTTACAATGATTTATCGTTAGTTCGCAGTCAGACATGAGAAATTTACGGTAGAAATTCCTAACGTACGGTTGAAAAATCTGGAAAAGATAAATTATGTTGTTGATATGGATTTTTACAAAAAGCGAGTAGATACTATTTATTATGCTTAAATATTTATTATATTAATACACGAAGGTTTACCAGGTTTACCTTAATAAAAATAATCGGTCTTAAAATATTTTTATTATATTGTTTTATATAATACTAGCGACTCACCCTCGCTTCGCTCAGGTTCGTCCCTAGCTCGCTTACCTATACAAACTTTCATTCTCACCCCCTTAAGGAATGATTTCCGGGATAAAAAGTATCCTATGTCTTTCCCAGGGTCTTAATGTATCTTCTTACCAAATTTCGTCTAAATCGGTTCAGTAGAACCAGAGATTACCTACTACTACTACGTCACAAAGTCACAAACTTTACCTCTATAATTTTAGTATAGATGAATGTGACTTGAATGTACATCTGTTACACTTTACGTCTTACCACGTATGAAATCAAACCAATAGAAATAATACAGTATGTATGATCCGCGTTACGCGGAGTAAAATATAAAAAACTAACGCTAATAAATTATAATGTATATTGTGTACTTTGTACGTGGACTTAGCCGTGGAAGCGTTGCCGGGCCCGGAATCCTTAATCCTGCGTAGGCACTGATCACTAGGGATGTTTTGTGTGTATGTAGATTATAATATATAAGCCCATTAATCAATCCGACCGAAATACTTTGATTTTCTTTGTAACCGACACAATTCAAAAGGGGAGCTCTCGTCCCACTGACCGAAGAATACCGAATGCCATTGACAACTGTCATTTCAAACCCGACCTAAGATGATGCCATATAAAAAATACTAAACACAGTACATACAATTCTGACAGGTTATTTTTTATATCTCTATTTACTTAATAATGGAAAATGATAAAGTTCTTTATTTAATGTAATATTTTATAAATATTACATTATTTAAGATATTATATGACGATTAGTCGTCAGTCTTAATCAACATAATTTAAACGACATTAAATTAATATCATAAGATAATATTTTGCAAGGACAGATACTCCATCCCATACATTGGACGGAATTGTTCGGGTTTTACATATATTATTCGGAATTATAATAATTATTTTTCCTGAATAGATAATACGATGACACTAATCAAAAAAATATATCAACAATATATGCAAACAATAAAAAAAAACATTATTTTAGACTATTTATAATTATTATGTCGACGAATTATATATATCGAATGTAACGTGTATAATTTGTCATTATACAAACGATACAGTCTATTTACGAACGCTTTTTATGTAAAATGACAAGTGCAAAATGTAAAACATTGTATTGTAATTACACCGTTGGGGGTAGTATGGGTTTTTAGGTTCAAGAAAAAAAGGCCTAACGAGAAGCCTCGACGAGATTCAAGTTAGGATTTAACATATAATTATTGAACGACAATCTAGCTGAACATCTCATCGTTAAGGTGTTTTACATAAAAGAGCTGTTTTGTAAAATAAATCTTTTATATTAAAATAAATCAAAGTTACACATTTCGGTTAAATGAATTTCGGTAAAATAATTGAGTTTAGAAGCATCATTAATTTTCTTTCACCATTCACAAACTGGTAAGCGTTTGTAAGTAGACCGCGACACATCCAGCCAAAATATCTCCCACAAGTTTGTGTGGTGCGTAATGCCTTTTACTTTTTATATATATAAAGATATATACATATCACATGTTCATTGTTTCACATGGTGATGACTACTACGATCTACGATAGATATATAGCGCAAATGTGTGTACCATTGATATATAAAAACATAGATACACATTTTTTTAATAAATGTATTCAAAAAGTGGCGTCGACATGTGACGCCAGTCAAACCAAAGAAAAATTCAATAATTTAAAGTTCTAATTGTCTATACACAAATTCGAACTAACGCACACCACATAAAGAAGTTTTTTGAACGAAACAACGTTAATTTTGTCTTACGAAAAGCAATGAACAAAAGAGATTTGAAAAAAGCTCTATTCAATTTCGAATTGTTCACTTTTTTGAGGACACTTTTGAGACGTTAATTGTGTATCTGGAGTATTTTTATATACCAATGTGTACCTAATAATTTTATTAGAACATGTAAATTCTAACATTAGGATACATTACAACACTTGTTCTTTCAATGTCTACGTTTTCTACCAGCACTGCCTACCCCGATATAGCATAAAGACTAAGCTGAATAGTATGTATAAATAGTGACTTTTTCAGTATATGTTTTACGTTCCATTTTACGTATAACAAATGAAACAGCGTCATTTTGACTAGCACTAAACTTATAATTTCCTCCAAGAATTTAACTACGAGTAATGTCAATTCTTTCAAAATAAAGCAAATAAATTTGGACGAAGTCGAGTTAGCGTATTATAGTAACCTTAAAATGTGCGAACATAGTTATATTAATTTTGCCGACGTTATAAATTTGTGCGATGAGAAATATTGGACAGTTTTTTGATTGCTCACTTTAGGACGGCGGCTTCAGGGACCAGTACGACATGCCACGAGGAGGTTATGAGGACATGCCGCAGAATCGCGGTGGTTGGGAGGGACCGCGCCAAATGGATGATTATCCTAATAAACGCCGGCGCTTTTAAATAACGCCTGTCCACGGCACGATATGCTATACCTGAAATATAGGTTCTGCGCTCTTCTACATGGAACTCAGTCTTTGGTTATTGTCAAATAAAGGAATAAGTTAATAAACAACACACGGTCAAGTGTTAGCTACCAACTATTTTAATTAAATGTAAATCAAAAAAAAAGTGCAATCCAATTTGAAGTAATCAAAGGCTTGTTATTAATGAGATGCACTGTCTGTGAATGAACTCATTTATGTACTAAATGATACAAGAGTTATTAAATGTCTTTTGCAAAAAAACCATTTGTTAAAATCTAAAATGATTTTATCACGGGCTAGTGCACTCTTATTCTATAACAATATTATTATTATGACATTCGTAGAATAGAAAAATATAATTATAAGTAAATAACGTTTAGGTTTCTTCACTTGTGTGTACTTTTATATGTTGCGCTGAATTTTAAGGAACATAAAATATCACCGTATTTTAAATAATTTTGACGGTCTAATGCAAAGGTTTCGTAAAAAAAACTGGGACTACATAGTTTTCTTACAACAACAAAAACTTCCTCCTTCTTACTACACAACTACAAAAAATCAATTTCATTTTAAAAATTAGACGCGGACAGTTGAGATAAAACGTTGTTTTGTTTTATTAGATGACTTTTACTTGGTCACATTTGTAGTATTATTTCACACAAAATATAGGAGGATGGTTTCTGACTGCAGAGTCTGAATAAACTAAATCACTAATTGTTCTAAATAGAGCTCAATGGATATTAAAACGTATTTTTACAATGGAATTTGAGAAAAACTCATGATAGAACTGAAAACCGAAGCCGAAAACTATTTTTTCAATAAGTTGAAAGGTTTTATGAAACTACTGCTTTAATACAAATGTCTTGTGGTAATAAGAAAGTAATGTCTCTCTTCTCTTTAAGACTAGAAAAATGTTTCTATATACTGTTTTCTAAATATTTTCAACACTTATTGAAAACTACTTATGTATTTTATTAACTTTTAGGATAAATTAATAGTAATAATTAACTTATCTGCAAAGCGTACCTCTATAAAAATGTGGAATATCCACAGTTAACGTTAAATTAAAAAAGCACTAACTTTCTAAGTTATTCAAATAAGAAATTGTAGCACGAGTGCCGTACATACCTATATATAAGAAACTGTAATATGTAGTTAATACTTATTTTTTTGACTTACGTAGGCAAGCCTAATGGCTCATCATATGATCATAATTTCATCGGTACAATTAAATATCTTGTAACGCTAATAATATTTTATATTACATACATATATTAGGTTTTGTGTGATGTGAATGTATGCATGTGACACCCATGATTGATAAGAATTGCGAGTAGTGTTCGAGGTAATGTTTGAGTAATCTTATTATATATATTTAATTTAGAAAAAAATTAGGATCGCGAAATCACATTGTAATTTTTTCGAACCTTCATTAAAATAAATTTTTACCATAAATACACACCTTTGTAATTCTTTTATACCTTTTAGAAAATAATAACATTTTATGACTTCAGTAAACGTTCTGCGATGTCGTAAAATATGTATCTGGATATCCAGGTACCCGATCCATATTCGGTTTTAAGTCTGAAAGAAACAATAGCGTATAATAATCGAGAACGAACTGGATAATAAAGTAAGCGGAAAACAAAGCGGGGAAGCTTGCATCTTTAAGTTTTTTTATAGTTGCTCTCTTTAATGATCCATCCATTATTTTTGAGATAAAAATTGATAGAAAATATTGTACAGTAGCAGAATGCTACATTATCCATTTCTTTCTATAATATTTGGTTTATTTTTATTTTAATAAATTTTTGTTAATAAGTTGACCATATACTAGAGCAGGGTTTATTCAAGATTAAAAGCTCTTAAATTTCTTACGAGTACGACTACTTTACTAGATCTATACCATAACGACTGCCAATTTCATTATATTTTTTGGTTGTCTAAAATATGTGGATGCTAAGGAAATAAAATGCATATATGTATGTAATGTATTCAGCCCTTTTTTAACGTCCCACTGATGGGCACGGGCCTCCCTTCAATACGAGGAAGATCAGGCCATAGTCCACCACGCTGGCCAAGTGCGGGCTGGCGGACTTCACATGTCTTTTGAAAACTTGCTAGGTTTTCTCAGACATGCAGGTTTCCTCACGACGTTTTCCTTCACCGTAAGGCAAGTGGTAATCATGTTGGAAATGATTCGCACATGAAAATATAAGAGGTGTGAGACCCGAGATTTAAACCCTCATCACTCGGTTTCCCAAGCGAGCGCGTTACCACTGGGCTACCACGTTGGAAAATTTACTCATACCACATAAAGACATACAGGTAGTTATGTGAGAATCATCGTCTAGAAGAGCCAGTACTACCTACCTAGTGGTAGCCCACCACTGCCTGGAATAAGCTTAGGTAATCCTTAATGACGGCAAAAAATATTATTAACCTTATGTGAAGTAATTTAAATCCTTCGTTTTTGACTAACTTGCTGAGCTAGGACGAGAATTTACTGAACCAATTTATTTCTTCTTGATTGCTTGCTTGATTTAATTTTTGACAAATACATCTTATTACTTCTAACAAGCGAAATTTTTAATATACACATATAATATATATGATGATAAATAGACACATGATTCAAAGATCTACCCCATGGTGGCTAAACGGAATATAATTATATATAACATAATAGTTTTATAAAAAGTTCGTCATTTTAACTAAGGCAGAAATATATAAGTAAACGTTTAATCTAAAACTAAAATTATTATTCCCAGATTATAAAAAAAAAGAATTGCAGAAATCTCATTTTTTAAATGTATTTAAGTATCTATGTTATAAGACCTGTTACGAATGAATATTATTTTTTATTTTGAGCTAAAAGGAATGCTTCAAATATTGACTTGATTTGAAGAAGCCCTTTTTATTTTACCAAGTTCCATTTAGATTAGTAACTAGCGACTCACTCTCACTCCGGTCGGGTTCGTCCCTAGTTACGTTTTAAAGTTTGGTATAGGTTTCTCTGAAATGAGACATTATCTTTAAGTAAAAAGTATCCTATATGCAACATATAGGACACTTTTTACTGATAGCTGGTTATCCGGATCGACACCCGGATGACCAGCCTTCAGTAAAAAATCATCATACCAAATTTCATCAAAATTTGTCCAGTGGTTTTCTCGTGATGCGATCACAGACAGACAAAAATTCTAAAAAGTATAGATTCGACCTTTGTATCGATAATAATGCCTTATTTCACTTAGATTTTTCTAAAAATATTTAATGTACAGATTGGACTCTGAATTTTATTAGTAGGGGAGCCCAAGAGGGGATTTTAGAAGTTACTCAAGCGCAAAAATATTTTGATGAGGTAGAAATACTTGAAACCGTCAGATTAAGGTATGGCGGGCTAATTACATCCTGAAAAGTGTGCAAATCAATAATCTGCCGATTTCTACAAGCCGAAGAGGCAAAAATCGACTGTAAAGTTTATTGTACCTATTGTATTTATTGTATTTATTGTATCATCAAAATATTTTTTAAATATTTTGAGCGGCTGCCCTAGACGCGCGCCCCTATATAGATGACTTATAATATGGTGGAGTTACTCAGCAGAGTGCAAGGTATCATCCCCCCTTATGTTAATCTGCCGCGCTTGAGTAACTCCAAAAATCCCCTCTTGGACTCCCTTATTATATTAAATGCATAGATTAGTATCAGGTAAAATGTACAACAAGCATGAACTCTTCTGTCAAAAAACACCTAATAAATTCGTTGCATGCAGTTGGTGTAAAATATTTATTAACGTGTAATATCCTATATTTATCTATCAATTCCATTACATTTTTCTCTTTGAACTATCTTTTATGTATTTTCTGTAAATGTTTTAAATAAATACTGTTTGTTTCCTAAATATAAATAAATAACTAGTAGACAATTACCATGTTGTTAAATTTTGTATTTTAAAATGTCATACATCAAAATTAAACTGAATCACTATCACAGTCAATATCTTGTATATATTCAAATATCTCCCCCAGGTCTTATATGTTAATTCATTGCACTCATTCAATGACTTATTCTTTTATTATTTTTAATATCAATACTATGGAATTGTCTGTATTCATCTAGGTTTTAGATATTAACAGCTAGCCCACTTTATGATATCGTCCCCTTTCTGTGTAAACCTCGTAACTCCATTTTTTTCGAAATTGAGATTTTTAGCGAAAATCACTCCTTAGCACTCTTGTAACGTAAAACAAAACATGCAATGTTCATAATGTTGATAGATTTTTTTTAAAGGCTTTTGATTTTTCTCGTATCTACATGTTCGAATACAAAAACCTCGTATCTACCGTAAGTATCGCTAAAAACGTTAAGATGGCGTTGTTGTCTTATTACTGAATGTTTGTAAACATGTTCACACTTAAGTTGACTGTATTTTGTTGATTGACATTTATTTTTTATTCATATGAATACATATAAAATTATTAAAATTTGGTAAAATTTGAGACAACTATTTATCAGAAATATTTAACTGTTGGTCATACACAAATGGAGTGCGACTCTGTTCATTCATCTATTGAAAGAAAAAAGAAAAACAAGGAACTCTACGTGCCAGCAGATTTTGTTCGCATCATCAAAGAAGCTAGAATGAATCCAGAGCCATATAAAGTTATTAATGTTGATCACACATTTTTTAAGGATTTTTCTAAAATAAATTTTTACAAATCGATAAGACCCGGTTCAAAAACAGGAGATCCACAAGTTACTGATTTAAAATGTCTTAAATACGATTCAACTGGGCTGTATTATAAACTCGATTACCAGAACGATTGGACCTTATTACCTCAAGAAAAAATCAAGAATAAATGTAAATCGAAAAAATATTATCACTCCGTTATATAAAAAACCGATTTCTATTACATCAAGAAAATTCAAAGATTTGCAAAGTTTGAAAAGATTGCTACCCCAAGATTA